GGAATTAATCAGACTCTGTAAGTGAATGCTTGGTCTGTTTGTCTGCAGCATAACATTTACTTCCAGCTTGATCCTCCTTGAACCTATGATTGTGCCCTCTCGTTGACGTGATAGAATTGTACAGCTGAAGGATCCTTCCACATTTATATTTAATCTCCTAACTCTCATCCTTAATTCATGAGGAGAATGGGAGACCCCCTAAACCCCTGCCCCCACGACTCGACCCGCTGGGAGAGCGAAAGAGGAGGATAAGAGCAGGATTAAGTCTGTGGTGTAAATAGGAGCCACGAGGCCACCACAATTATTCACTTCCCCCATCACTCCCTCGCCTGACTCCTGTCTCTCATCCTTCATTCTCTGACTCTCTCACAAACTCCCTTTGTCTCTGCTTTCCCTTTTTCGTTCCCTTGCACCTCCAAAACACAAACTTAATCTTATCCCTAAAGTCTTTTTGTTAGTTAGGAAATAAATCCATCAAGGTAAACATGAGCCGAATGAAAGAACTGCATTGGTATTCCTGCAGAGTCCATAGTTTACAGTGCTCTACAGCCAGCGAGTTAGCGGAGTAGGATGTCACTGGTGCTGCAGAGTCTGTCAAAAATATGAACAGACTGTTAATAGACCAGTGACTTCATAGAGTCTCCACTGCTTGCCTGGCAACAGGTCCTGGCCAAATGATAGTCCAGTACATAACACTCTGTAAAACAACGAATTGTCATTTAACACTTAGATTTTTGTACGGATTAAACAGAGGAGATATAACATGTTAATTAGTGAATCTAAGAAGTGCTGGTAGGCTAATTTTGTTACTTTTGGAGAGAGTCAGGCTGGCCATCCCCCCACCCGTTTCCAATCTTTCTGCTTAGCTACTTAGTCAGCTGATGGCTATAGCTTCAATAGCCAATTTAAAACTGTTGACAAGATGCTTCTCAGATCAGATGAGTCTAGAAAAACTATTTTCCTCATATAGCCACAGTAACAATCTGACCATAAATCTCTATATTTTCATTCATTCATGCCAACTGTGTGGATGAATAACTGAATATCCAGCAAAATGCTTTACATAAAGCATGGAAGCTAATAGGAGATAAACCAATCCCAACTCAACACCCTGTTCAGTCCTTGTGCACTGTTGGGTATTGTAAAACAGGCAGCAGAATTTCCTCTCTAATAATGTTAAAAGATGAGATTGATGTGAAAAACATCTGTGGATTCACTTTGAGAAGTGGTAGCGTCCCTCTCGCTCACGGTGGTCATTAAGACTTTAATGGCAAAATACATTTTGTCCATCAATGATGCAGCCTTTGGGAAACCAGTGCAATTATAACATTTTTAACTCACCACTGTTCTGCTCCCTCTCACGCACCAGCTGCCAAAAATTTTGCGAGCATGGTGCTCCTTACTTTAATGATGTAATATCTGAATGAACTTTAACATAAAAGTCACCTAGTGGATATCTGAATTTAAAAGCTAGCAACACAGAATCCTGATTCAGTCTGTCTTTAATTGTGGGTTAGTCAAACAGAACTCCTGATCCTGATGCAGACATTAAAACCCACCACTAAATTAACTAACCTTAACCCTCACCCTTCTGTAACCCTATTGTGGAGTTTTCACTGTAAATTACTATAAAACACCATCTATAACACCAAGCTAAGCTCTTGAAGCGATAATAGCCAAAATCCTTCTTTTTAAAACAAAGCCGTTTCAGACTTGCAGCCAATGTAGATGTTGCTGCTAGATTTCCAATGTTCTTGTTTCCCCAATTAGCTTGACGAGATAAAGTTCTGACAGTTCAATCATATGCCATGTTTCTGTCCTGGTCGGCTCCGCAGTTTGAATCATTTGTTTCTTTCTTTCTCCCTGTAAATCTGTGGATTCTGTTGAACGTATTAAATGGATGCAGGGTGGGAGCTTCATCATCACTGGCTCCATCACACAGAAATCAATAAGTATTTACCTGTAATGAAATAAGCAATCGTTCTGTCAGCCTCTCTCGCTTTTTCTGTCTCTTCTAATTCACACACAGACAAAACAAACTAGTAGGGAAGAGTGTTGGTCAACCGCAAGTATCCAGAAAGAGAGCACAGAATTCTACTTGTGTATATGTGTGATTTATTCAAGAACGCATTCAGACATCAGTCTAGGATTAGGTGTTGCCTGCAGTTCAATAAGTGAAACACACAATGCATCACACTGCCGTAACTAATGGGAAATGGATTTCATTAAATACTCCTTTAGTCCCACTAAAACTAATGTCAGAGACGTGTGTGTGTGTGTTATGGCAGCAAACTTTGAAATATTATTTATATTCTAAATATTATTGAAATATGTGCACAGAATGTATTAATATTTAGTGGTATACTACATAGAAAGAAGGAAATTTATCCTTAAAGTTTTACAGTGGAGCATTTTCATATTTCGTGTGTATGTGAGTGTCAGATCAGACATTTAGCGGTCTAATTAGTCAATATAAATCTACAGTGAATGGATTACTACTTAATACAGTTTAATAATACTGATGTCCTCCCATGGCCAGGGTTTGGTCCAAATACAATGTGTTAAGTTTCATGCTAGCTGATAACTTAAATAAACATCCATAACAAATAAATCCCTGACTTGCTTTTGCTTTCAACACATTGTGTATCTCCACATAATACATATGATAGGCTTGAGTCCATTCTCTCATTTGTTCAGGGAAAGAGGTGACCATGTACAAAACAGACACAAATCTAAAAGGAATTACATCAAATGAATGTAAAATAATAAGTACACCTTCCTGAACTTTAAGAGCATTATATATGTAGTGCATACTTTGTCACACTTTGTAGTGCACTAGATAGTAAATAGGGATTTTGTTTGTGTATTTTATTGGATCCCTATTAGCTTCTGCCACATCAGTTTCTAATCTCCCTGGGGTCCAAACTAAAAAAATTTTTACAAAAAAGGGTTCGGATAAAATGTTAATGCTATCATGAAAGCGAGATCCAAGTGTATAATCGCTTATATAGTCTGCTTAAGGTATGTCTGCATTTGTCTAAGCACTTTTTGATTCTCTTATACTATTTAGAAACTTGTTCAATTCTACATACGCCCTATATATTTTAAAAGGTCAGTCTTGGGTCTAGGGATGTCTAATTGTCGTATTCAGATAAACTAGGGACACAGTTTACAAGAGTCCCTAATGCTGTGTGATGTGTAAATCCAGTGTCATCAGTTCATTACATTGAGTGTTCCCCTTTAATATGCCACACATTAAGAACAAGACGTTGAACTTCTCAAACTCCACCCTTCGAAACTGTGTTTTACTGTGGGTTAGGGGAAGGGGGGAGGGTTAAGTGCTGATGGGTCATACAGTAAAACAGGCCTATTAGAAGAGAGTACTGAGGGGGGCAGCACCCCCAGACTCAATGTCTTTAATATTACATGGTGGCACCATGGTTCCTCGCAGCCGCGGCTTGCTTACATGCTTCATTTTGGCTTCGCATGTACTAAACTGCTGGTGTAAGAGTTCAGTTGTTTGTTAATGTGTGCGTGTTTGAACAGCCTGTGCTGTCTACCAATGGAGGAGGTGTTCTGTAGGTTTGCCCGGTGTCGCAGGAGGACGTCTTCTCTCACCCTGCCAGGATCCAGACTGGTAAGACTTGAGAATCAGAGGTTAGACTTTCTTCTAGAATAGAGGGGGCACTAAGTACATTTGTCCCCCTGCCCGGGAAATAAAGATGAAAAGAGATTTAACCTCCTTGATCAGTCTCTAAACACTGTTTTGCAGCGGCAGCCTTTGCAGAAATACCTCTTTTAGTTATCTTTTCATCTTCATATATTGTGTATTAGACTAGTTATTTTTTACCATTATAGTCTACCACCTTGGTTGACCTGCTTATACACTCTGGATAAAGGTGCCATCTTATGTGGACTGACTGAAAGATTCAGAGGCTGGACCCACTCTCCATGTCAAAACAGTCTTGCATCTCTGAGCCTACCAAGAGGCAGCGCTGTGTATGGCTATTCTCTGCTTGAGTAAGGCCATGTAAGGCATCCACTATTTTTACAGTACATTTCTAAACCAGCCATATTATTTAAACAGGACTTAGCTAGCTAACATTACAATAACTGAGTTATGAGTGGTCAGTCTGGTGGTGTGTGCAGTGACTCTAGGTTTAAAGGTTACATATTGATCTGGTGACGTGTTCTGGGTCTGGTTCTATGTCTCTGCTGTGTATATTTTTTTTTTTTTTTGTCAAAGTTTTACAAGCTGTCCTCTTGCACAGTTAGAACTAAAGTGCTTTGTGGGAAAAAAACACTAATCCCCCACACTGGTTTTCAGAAGTCAGTTGGCTGCTTCTCTCATTCTGAGTGGGAGAATGACCTCTTAGCAGTTTGGATTTTGGTGTGTGCAATCATTATAAAAGGTGATAACAAAATAGAAACAAATGTATTTTGTATCGATGTTCAAGCTTTGCCTTGTGCAAATTGTCTTCTTATCCTGAATTGACCGCCATGAACAGATTTGTTAAAGGAGTTTATTTTATTTGTGGCCGGCGGCTTGATATATTTTCTTGTTTAATTTAAAAAATGGAAATTGAGGTGTATTTGTCTGTGCATGTTCATGAGTTTGAATGTTATTGTGTGCGTGTACATGTTCATGTTTGTCTATTCAGTGTGCACAAAACATGTAAGCTGTATGCATGAAAAAAGCCAGCCATATCGGCCTAATGAGACAACGACAGATACAATATACCAGCCTCCCACCTCCAGCACCTCCTGTCTGTCAGAAATCATATCAACCTCCAGCCTTGGATTAAAATTTACAGCCATCTGAAGGGTCTTCAGCTCCATCCTCTTCATGCCAAACCAGCCTTGGCTTTCAGGCTGATGAAACAGCCGTGTGTGTGTGTGTGTGTGTGTGTGTGTGCGCGCCCCTGTCAAACTCATATCCTCTCTGCCTTCTCTGTTTCCACTTTCTGTCTCTCTACTACTTCCTATCGATGTGTGAACAGCTTCCTGCTGACCTCAATAAGATGCACCTAACGGACCACGCCCATCAGCAGGTGATGCACATGCCCCCCAGCCAATCAGGATGCAGCATCGCCAGCGACTCGGGGAGTAGCAGCCTTTCAGATATTTACCAGGTGGGGACCTCATTACTTGTTTAAATGAGTTTATCTTATTTGGGTTTTTATTTTCTCTTTGCTCTTATTTTTCTTTAAACATGATTACTTTCACTTTGCCTTATTCCTTTCCCCTCCATGTTGCATATCTGAAGGTGGTATTTTATTTTAAGAAGTGCCTTGATCAGCACCGGTATAAGAATTCAGGCTGTAGAAGTCTAATGCTACCTCTTTAAGGTTGCTTGTACTGTCAATTACTGTCCCACTACCATTATTCCATATCAAAGATATGAAGTCTTTCAAATAGAGTGACAAACCCCTGTATATGGTAGCCCTTCCACTACCACACTGTGACAGAAGTGTTTTACTGGCAGTGGATTCTCCCCAGCTTGATTTGCTCTAATTCTGTCTGTAACATATCTGTCAACCCTCTACCCTCCATCCTTGTAACCCTTGGTATCTCGCTAATTATTGAGCATCAGTTGTGCATCCTGGTGATCCGTCTCCCTCTGTACTTCCTGCTGCGGATGAAAGGTCACTTGCGGGAAATTAACTTAACCTTTCTAGCTCTTTCTATACCTGTGCCACTGGTATGGAAGCTGTAACATCATCGGTGTAACTGGGATAATTACGATCATTTTGCTGTCATTCCTTAGGTCTGCTTCCATATGAAGTATGCAGTGAAGTGTGTCAAGGAAATGTATGACTTCCAGTGTACATCAGTTATACAGTTAAGTCCGTCATAATGTTTTGATTTTGGTTTCCTTTAATGGAAATTCTTGAGCGTGGGACATCTGAACACATTCCACAAATTTAATGGAAGCACTGAAAACATGTAGACCTTTGAAATGGTTGACTTTGTACTTTAAATGTAAATTCATATATTTTAAATCTGTTGTCTGAGTTGTGGCTCTGACTCTTTGAAGGTTGCTTTTAATGTCTTCAAACTAGGGTGCTTATCATCTACCATCGCATTTATTACAAGTTCACTTAGTTTAATGCACAAAGTGTAAAATGTAAATTTCAAAGTATAATTACCCGACCAGGAGGTCTTTATATTTCGCTCGCTGCTCTTGTATCAGCCTCACCTTTACGTGACATTTCTGAGTGTTCAGAAGCTCAGTGTGCTTTGGAATGAAATCCCTCTCTTGAGTGTATATTTAAATGTCCGCGAATCAATAATCCATAAAAGGGTACATGACAAGGCTGTCTCTCATCATTTATTCCCTCAGCTCTCCTAATCTCCCCTCTTTACACAGAAAGTCGTAATGAATTCTACCTTTCAGTATTACCTTTCAGTCTTGACTCTTCACAAGAGTGCTGCAGTATTTTAGTTGTTCCTCTTCACGGTCAACATGTATGGGTTGGAAGGGTTTCCATTGGACACCAGCTTGATAGCATTGTTATCATCAATGGAACTGGTGAGGTCCGTTAACTACAATTTAATGAGCTAGTTGAAGTTAATGAGCTGGTATAATCAATGGGCACTGCTGGCCAGAAAAAGAAGGAGCTGGTTTGTTTCAGTGAGGAAAGTTAACAATGCTAATATTAGGTATGAATGTCTATTCTCTGCTTTAGTAAGGCCATGTAAGGCATCCACAACAATAACAATAATTATCGCAATATAATTTTTTTTCAATAACAATATAACAAATGTTCAATAAATATTCAATAAATGTTTGACTTTATTCACTTGAATTATAGACAAATTAGAACTCAGATTTGTGAAGTGATCCACTGTTTAGCATCTAGTGTTGACCATAATTTAGAGTTTAAACAGGAGCAAAAATCAGCCTTTAAACTCAAAAGAAATAACGATTTGATACTTATCGTGATAATTATCAATATCGAAAGATATGAAAATCTTTATTGTGATAAAAGTTTTGGCCATATCGTCCAGCCCTAGCTAATATCCAGATTTTTTTTAAGTGCCAGAATATAGGTTTTATTTGTCAATTGTTTAGCAAGTCAAGGGAGAGATGCAGATACATTATTCCATAGCCACCATGCCAAGCTAATTTGGAGGCCTCAGTCTCCATTCCAAATGTCTTATTATCTGATTATGTTGCACATTTAACACAGATCCCCCCCCCCCCCAACAAAACTTTCAACAAAATGAAAGAATAATATCAATAAGGAGAAGGTAATGTGGAAGGGAAATAAAATAGGGCAACACACAACTGCTATATTAGACAATATTTACTAGGTCTGCTGTAAATTGCCGTCTAGTTACCTCAAAAGTAATAGTGCAGGAATTATGGACTCAATTACTCATTGTCAGCAGAATTTCACAAAGTCACCTGTGCTCTCAATAGAAAACAACCTACTTAAATTACTTAACTCTGATATTTTAACCTCGTTATCTGCCACAACCGGTCCTCCCTCCTCAGACTGTCTGCGAGTGTTTGCGTTTTGATGTAAGTCAGGTCAACCTGGGTCGGACGTTCTAACACCTGAGACTGATCTCTTCATCCTGAGATTAGATATTAATCACACGGATCTGATCCCCTCAGCTTGTCGCTGACCCAGCTCTGTTTTGTTTACAGCTGTCTTAAATCGCTGACCCTCCAGTCAGCTGTGGTCCTTAGCTGTCAATGCAACAGACTGCTTTTGTTATGGATTTCTCCCTCTCTGTCTTACATTTACCTAAACCACAGTCGTTCCTTTTACTCAGTCTTCTCAACATTTCAACCTCTTCCTGTTATTTGATTTTCCTATCTTTAATCTCTTGGCTATATCCTAAACTCCTGTGCATTCCTCTCTCTTGTTATTCTGTCACAGCACTATAAGATGTGCCGGTTGTTGGGCAGATCTGATGTCCCTCGTCTGTAGGAAATGTCCCCCTGGCTCAAACTCGTTCTGAGACCAGGGGACTTTGACTGAAAGGGCACATCCTGCATTCTGAAAGAACTATTTTCTCAAAAGCCCTGAAGGATACAGTATGTCAGAGGCAGAGGGGGAGAGTAAAGGCAAAGTGTTAATGTCGGAGGATTGCACCACAGTAATATCCCCACCACCTTAATGCCTCCATTTTTCAACATCAACAATTTAAAAGAAGAACAGAATTTAACAACCTCCACAACAGCCTCTAATCTGACAATATGGAGTTTTCTCTCTTGTTGTGAACTATACAGAGTACCACTGCACTTTTTGGCCTTTGTCATGTTCTGTGTACTGTTACATGCATGAGACAAAATGTCCTCCAAGGTGTGCATCTCTGCAGAGCTGCTGGTTCTACAGTTCCAGGCAGAAAGAAAGTGCATTTTGCTCCACAAAACCCAATTCATTAAACCATTACTGGTCATTCTGTCTCTTTTTATAATGTTAGTCATTTATTATTGGTGTCAAAGAAAATAACATGAGCATTCACATTTTATTTTAGAACAGAAAGGGAAGTGTTTTTTTCTTGCTGGTCTATTCTTATCTATTAAACCACATTAAATTTCTCTGATGCAGAGCAGGACAGATGGTGTGTTTTAAAAGTCCTCTAAATAACGTGTCCAACCTAATTTATGAAAACAAGAGTGGACCTGTGCCTGAACTCGAGGTAGTTAGCTTAATCCCCTTGCCTCAGAGAAACCTATAAAACCCTTTGGCCATGTACCAAATCTCCGTAGAACCCAAGATAGTATTGTTTGTTAGAGAGTCCATCTTGTAGTGTGTAGAGCAGGAAATTAACTTTTCCCCACCGGCTTCAACAGCAGTATCACAATCAAATCTACTCTACGACTACCACGATGTAGGTATATCGGTGCCTTCAAGATAACACCTCTTGGTCATCCTAAATTTTTAGACTTGCTCTTAATTCCGAGGTGACGCCTCAGGGACGCATATGGACATTGTTACAAGTATAAAACAAAAGAAACTCAAAGAAAGTGGACAGCAACACTTGTTGCCCTGTAATAGGCAAATTTAATACAATAAAGAAGAAAATTAGTGAAATAGTTGAGAGTTCAATAGTAATAATTATCTAATTATTATCTTCAATATCAAGTACACAGTCTTGAAAACAGAGTCACGTAAATATGTCTTCTTTGGAATTGACAGATTACCACACCAAAATTAGTTCTGTACACTGGACTAGAGAAAGTATTTTTCATAACAAAATCAGTCATGCCAGTCCTTAAGATCCATATCAGTACTACCTGTGGTCCTCTAAACAGCCTTCATTTGCAAATATTTGTCCTTAAATACAGTACAGTGCATAATCTAGTATTCACTGTATTTCCTTTTTACCTTCCCTTTTACGTTGACAAACACCAGTTGAGTAAGTGAATTCTTTACAAAAATTTAATAAATAAATAAATAAAAATAATTTCAAATAGCGCAAGCTTCATAAGATTTGCTGCAAGATTTCCTTTGTTTTATAGGCCCTCCAGCAAGCTCTAACAGATGGCCTGCAGTGCTGCCACTGCCACTGGAGAGCCCTTCTTTTCACCTCTCGGTTGATGGTTCAATTCCCACCTGACCTGAAAGCCCCTATGCCCCTTTAGAGCCACACTGTGCCAACCATCTGTCTGCCCCGCTACTGTGGAAAAATAGTGGAATATGAATTATTACTGCTGGATTTAAATATTTGGCGGTTCGCCTCTGTTTTCTAGTTTGGGATTTGGTGTCAGGGTTTTAGCTCAGGGTCACAGATAGAGCTGCTCATTGCAAGGTTATCCTTCATGTTTTGTGTGGATGATACAAGGAGAATAGAGATGTAAAGGAAGAGGAGGTATTTTATAGCTTTTTACAAATTTTATGTGGCTCTACTTGATCACATATTTTTCCCAAAACATCGATACTGTCTGAAACTATAGGAAATATCTGGTGAAGATTATCACTTTGAATTTGGCTGCTTTTTACATTTCTCATAATTGCTCTTGCACAACTTTGAGTAAGATTAGTTGTTGTCCTGCGATCACTATGTGCCAACATCTTAATCGTCTTGACATAATTCCATAGACTGTATATAAAAATACTGAATTAACCTCAAACCTAATTCAACTCTGCTCTGAATCAAATCTCTATAACTGCACAATATTGTACCTCCTGACACTGAATGATACTTTATTAAACTGGTGTGCTATTTCATTACACATGAAACACATCACTGCTCCAATATTATTTTCCAGGTCACATTATCACTGGAATGAATGCTTGAGAGCAGAGTCTAGCAGGTTTAATCCTAGGAGAAATAAAAACACTATCTAAAATTATTATATGTACCTAAAATGCAGAGTGTCCTAATTAAAGAAATAAAAACTTTAATTATTATGTTTTAGAAGAACAAGAACAGTTCTGCACAGACCTTCTTTCTTTCCTTGTACTGTTACCAACCACTGTGCTGCCTTCACCCCTGTCTTTGCTCCAGGCCACAGAGAGCGAGCTCGGAGATGTGGACCTGTCTGGACTTCCAGAGGCTGCGGTGGACAGTGAGGAAGAGGAGGAGGAAGATGAGGACCTGGAGAGAGCTTCTGACACTCTTCTGGGCCGAGACCTGGTCCGAGAGTGTCTTGAAAAAGAACCAGCCGACCGCAACGATGACGACATTGGTCAGTTAATGAAGTTTTCTGTCTAATTCGTCTTTACGGTCATGGTATTTAGAATTGTAAAATTGCTTGAAAAGGTTATTATGTCTTGCTTGTCTGTAATCAACCATCACATTTCAAGTGCAAATTTACTTAAATGTAATGAAAAGAGTGGCTTAAATGCTATGTGTCTGAATGTCACTTGATACACTTAAAGACGGCCAGTTGCTATTTTTAGACATCATTTACACGACACACAGCCCTCACAGACACCATCTATCATTCAGTATGCCCCTCTCACAAAAAGACCCCTCACAGTGGTCTCTAAACATCAGTGCCCTTCCAGTGTGTATTTTTAAGCAGGCAATCAGAGAGACGACCTCATTAGCCCAGTAGGGTCCTGGAGGAGAAGGTGACCACATCAGAGAGCTGAGTGGAATTGTAAAGGCCTGCTGTGTGCCTGCTGTGTGCCTGCTGGTAGGCTGGCCTTCTCATGGTCTTCACCATTGACTAGTTAGACTCATTCAGAGGAGAGATTCTGTAGAGAGGAGGACGTGTCTAGCCCCAAGTTCAACTCTGGCTCGTGCAGTATCTCAAAAATCTAAATAAATAAATATTTTTTTCTTTATTAATACATTTCAGTTGAGTTCAGTTTTTCAAATTTAAAACATTCGATTCAACAACACCGGTGGAAATTAAATGTTTGAATATGAAGGATGTCACTCAGTATCCATACTGTATCCTTAGTGACTTTATCCAATGTCATCTACTTTTCAAGATAACAATTTATTACAATTTTCTTTTATGACCTTTTTTGTTACCTGCTCAGTTTGTGTGTCCTTTCCAGAGACTCTCTGGAAGTATTTTCTTAAATAAATGGGTAAAGATATTCTCAGTTGTCTGTCAGAGGTGGTAATGCTTTAGCCCACTGGTTCCCAACCTGGGGGTCAAGACCCACCCAAGAGATCACTTGATGTGTCTTAGGGGTTACGACATGATTAAAAAGTTTCTCTAAGGCAGAATTAGGTTAATTCATTTTCTGAATTTATTCTGCCCTTGCCTTTATTAATTACTGGGTAATTTTCCCTCTTCTGGCCTCTAGAAAGTATTAAAATGAGACCGCTATCCCCCTTGCGCTCGTGAACCCCCGATGCCATTGTCCATCACAATGTTTCAATGAAATTTTGTAGACAACCCTAGACTTAACATACTATGACCATCTAACCCAGGTTTTTGAAAGACCAAAGCAAAGAGGGACAGAGACAAAGATGAAGAGAGGAAATGACTGAGGCGACAACAGCAGGGGGAATTAAAGGGAGCCACTGAGCCGGCCTGCATAGTGTGCAGGGTGGACTAGGTCACTCTGTTCTCGGCCACAGCGCAGAGGAGGTTGACAGAAGATCAGCAGGGAAGGAACAGAGTGTGAAAGTTTCTCATTAGGCATAAAAATCTTTAGCACTGATGGTGTGCTGGCAGTATCGTTGTTAGCTTGGGTTCACTGGATGAAAACGACATTCTGTGTCTGTATGTTATGATGTTTGTTTTCTGAAAGGTTACAGATTGTGAAAGTTTTGAAGAATATAGACATATAGTAGTATATAAGATAGGGTAGAAATGTTTTGCTATCACCACTGATGGAGTGCTGCAAGCCTTGAGACTACATTTAAAAAATGGTTGCATTTTTCTTTGTACTTGAAATGACTAGCCCTAGTGATGTATCACAGTATGGTTTGCTTGCATTTAGACCCTTTAAAAGCCCATAGTTTGTTTTAGAAATGCTGCCCTTTCTCAGTGGAAAAATCAATGAGTGTTTTACCCACACACCTGAGAAGCATTGCTTTGGATACACAAGTAACATCGATACGTGGTGTTTACATGCTTCACAACAGTTTTGTTTTTTTTATTTTCTATTCAATGAATTTCTTGTCTTCACTCCTTCCTTTTTGTGCCCTTCAGAACAACTACTGGAGTTCATGCACCAGCTGCCTGCCTTTGCCAACATGACCATGTCTGTGCGCAGAGACTTGTGTAGCGTCATGGTGTTTGAGGTGGTGGAGCAGGCTGGCACAGTCATACTGCACAACAAGCAGGAGGTAATTGAATATAGTTTTTCTGTTTGTCGTTTTTTTTATAATTGCTTTTATATTAATATATATTGTCTACTACGTAGTAATTTCACCCTACAACCTGTATTGTGACAAAAAAATCTACCTTGTAAGAATGAACTAATAATGCACACATAACACACAAATCTTTAAACAGAAAAGTACTGTAAAAGGGCCCAATAAATGTCTGAGGAAGTTTGTTCACAATTCAAGGCTTTAAGAAGTCTTAAGAATGATTAGATTTAGTGATTAGAGTTGTTATATTTTAATGTTTCTTTTGCTTGTCCCACTCAGATGAATCATCCGTTAACCATTAACATAATTATACTGAATTCCCTTAACAGTTAAATTAGTGTTTGTCATTATTCAGTCAGAAACAAGATGTATTTGCAGGCTTGTTGATTCTTAATCGGGTGGTTAATATAATTACAGTTACAAAAAAGCTTAAAATTGTCTTTCCGTGGCAAAACAGTGCTTCCAAATATAAAGGACACATAAATACACACAAGCATGAAGGAAGTCGTAGTATGTCAGCTTGGATTAACACGCTTAAGTACGTAAAATGGAAAATGAAGAACAAAAGTACATGGAACCACATACACACACAGGTTTGAAAAAGCACATACGGTTGTTGACACCTTTCCATGTATATAGACACATACATCCTCACCGTCCTCCAGTCTATCCAAAGCTAATTGACACACAGAAACTGGTATATGCAAAGTCACTGCAGAGTCGAAGCCCCGTCAATCACTCGAGCCGCTACACAGCTAATTAATTAAGTTACATGCCTGAGAAACAGGAGCTCTGTCATGGCTGTTTGGTTACACATAGCAGCATTAGAACCGACAGGGTGATAAATGGCAATGAACTGCGAGCCGCCAAGCTCCAGGAAGGGCGGGAATCCATATCAACAGAACAATACACACATATACACAAATAGGCAGTGTGCATTGTATGGCTGTGCTTCCATATGTGTCGAGTCTGGCTGATGGACAGGTCTCCTCCGCTCTGTTTGTCTCTCTGTGGACTGTTGAAGGTCAAAGAGAAGCACTTTACTCCTCTCACAAGTGAACACAACTCTGCTAAGTGAGCGAGAGAGGGAAAGGAAAATAAAAGAGTCTAAAGTGGTCTAACAAAGTTAAGAGAGGTAAAGTGCTTCAGAGGACAGAAAGGAAGAGCAAATGGAAGCAGAGGGAGCCAACAAGGGATCGCCAGAGATACAGTGACGCGTGAAGCCAACTAAAGTTTCTTAAATCGCCATTTTATTTAAAGAATAAGAGCTTGGCAAATGACATTTTACCCACCTTTGCAGGCTTGTTATAAATACATAGTTTATGCACTGAGGTGTGTTAAATGTATGCAGGCTTAAAATGGCCTCTCAGAGACTCTTGTGTTTTATATATGTCGTTGATTACCCTACCTCACCTCACTTATTAGCATTTCATCAGTGCTGAGCAATAAAGAGAGTGAGAGGCTGACTGGAAGAAAGAGAAGCTGTTGGGGAGAGAGAGTGAGACGCTCTGAGAGAATTGGAGACCTGCTGGGTGAGAAACAGTCAGAGAATGAAAAGGCAATGAGAAGGAAATATCAGTTATGGTTGCGGAGGGAGCCCAGGGCTCGTTCACCCTCCCTCCCTCCATCCGCTCACACCCAGGATGAATGGCTTGTTATAATATGCCTGCTAGCATTTCCTTTTCAAAAGCCACCGCTAGAGACACAATAGCTCTTCACCATCACACTCACACCTCACACAAAGCACATTATGCTCACAAGATACTAAATATCAGTTAGTGTTATATAGCCCTTTACACAGTCATTCTTGTGCAGCGGTGCAGTGATATCCAGTGTGCTCTTTTGAAATCTAATGACTTAAGATAAAACGGTGCCAAGTGAGGTTAATAAAGGGTCGTATATAGTGAAACACAATGTTTTTTGCTGAACCACAGTCAAAACCGATGTATTTGATGCTGTTGCTTGTGTGCCGACCCCAGTTACTACAGGAGTAGTTTAAAACTGCAAGATATTAAGTACACATGGATATATTGACATATATAGTACATAGTATATTGACTTCACTGTAGAAAGGCACATGACTGGAGAGCAATAAGAAAATCCACAAGCCAGCATTAGTATTGGCAGTATAACTTGTTCGACATTATATGTTTGATGACATTGTCTTTGTTTGCCTGTCTACAGCTGGACCTCTGGTATGTTATCCTGAACGGGGCGGTGGAGATCAGCCATCCAGAGGGAAGAGTGGAGACTCTTTGCATGGGTAACAGTTTTGGCATCTCACCCTCATTGGACAAACAGTACATGAACGGGGAAGTTCGCACCAAGGGGGACGACTGCCAGGTAAAGACTACTGACCAAGTTTTTAAAAAAAGTTGCCATTGTTACCACCATAATCCTACATTAATGATTAAAAATAATTTATTTTCATAGCAATGTTGGATATGTTTCATCATTTTTGAGTAAACTGGTGTGATGTGAGGGTGTGTTCTTTTTTACTTTGAGTTTTTCATTTCTGTAATTTTGTTTATGAATGTACATTCCTAAAATTATCAAAGCATTACTTTTAGTATACCTTTAAATTACAGAATCTTGCTTGTCAGTGAAGCCACAGGCCTCTTGTACATTGACATGGAGTGGTGTATTTCTCACGGTGTGTTTACAAATAGCCTTGCAGGTTTCTCAGAGAAAGCTGTCTTGATATGTAGCAGGGATGTGTCCTTGCGGTAACCTTTGGTCACGTTGGCCAGTTCCTCCACTGCACACTTTGTTTCCTGACTTCAGATACACAGGAAGTTGCAGGCTTGCCCAGGCAAATGCAGAAATTGAGTGACAGTGACGAGTCACGTCCTGACACTTTCTGTTCAGCGTGATATAATGGGAAGTTAGTTTAGCTCCAGTGTCAAGTGTTTAAGTGAAGGATGCGTCTGCAAAATGGCTAACTGAGAGGATTTTGGACCACCCTAGGTGATATTTAGGCTTATTTCTTTGAGTTTAGTTAGTGTCAGAGGTTGTATTGTTGGACCTTCCTTCCTTTGTCCTCTCATGCCTCTCTCTGCCCACCCTCATGCTTCTTCTGTGCTGTTGTTTGAGTACCCTGCTGTGGTGCGGAGCAGCGTTTTGCTCTACTACAAGTTCACCCGCTTACCCCATGTCATCCTCGACCAGTTCGTCTGCATTGCCCAGGAGGACTACTGGCGTATCCTCAACCATGTGGAGAAGAACACACACAAGGTGGAGGAGGAAGGGGAGATTGTGATGGTGAAGGAGCACCGGGAGCTTGACCGCAGCGGGACCCGGAAGGGACACATTGTCATCAAGGTAAGTGATTTTAAAGTGTTGTTTTGTTAGATTTTAAGGAACCAGAGTTCAGCCAGGGTTCGATAAAGTGTTTTGCTGTTCTGAAATGTCACTGGAGTTCTTTTAGTCCCCAAGGTTTATGTTCTGTATCTGACCCCAACCTCTGACAAAGATAAACAAAGTAAAACATTTTTGGTATTGTGACAAAATGTGAACTGTGGATGTAAATATAGCGATGCATGATGATTTCAGGTTCAAACGTAAACTCAAGTTAGACTGATGTTTCATCCAGAGCTCAGCCTTTGTTATCTGACTTGATATAGAAATATATTAAACCTTGTTCAAGAACATATCCTAAACAATAACCAAGGTTTAAACATCATGCCAGTAAACTAAGAAGAATGTTTAATCTCACCCTAAATTTGGGATTACATTACTAATTAATTAAATCAGAAAATCAAATCATCACCCTTTGTTTTGTTTTTCATTATTAAGCACTAAATACACAGAAATGCCCCAGATTGATTTGAGTACCACCTCATTATGAATCGACCATGCCCTCACACACAGTATCTTGCAAAAACATCAATGCAGTTGTTCGGAGTTCTCAGTTGATTGTTTAGAGGCACCGTTGGCACTGTTAGTGTTTGCCGGAGCGTTTTCTTGTACGCTACATTGGAAAGCGCTCCAAGGCCTTTTGATCCTTCTCCAGAGCCTCCAGTGGCAGCCAGGTATTGATCAGATAATGGGCCTCAATGATTCTCTTGGCCATCGCTCCGAGGAAAACACATCCAGTGGAGATGAGTCAATTCACAAGTGTTAGCATTTCCGCTTCTGTTTTTGGCTTTGTTCTTTTTGTGTCGCACAAAAGTGGATGCCTTTCTAGTTTCTGTTCTCTGTCAAAATGAATCGTTTCCCCCAGAAACCTCTGCTCTGATAACATTAACAAACTTTGTGTGTCTTTGCCATTGTAAATCTGCTACTTACAATTACTACTCGCCTTCCTTATGGTGACAAAATGCAAGTCTGCCGAATGAAAATCATTCAGTTTTAGATTGAAGACTTGGGTTTAAGGTTAGGGTTAGATTTAGGAAAGTAGTGGTTATGGTTAGTGTGTGTGTGTGTGTGTGTGTGTGTGTTATTGATAGGTGAGTGACACCTCAGTTCAATAGCTGAATCTTATAGTTTGTCCTTGTCACTTTTATCATTAATGTCGACATCATTTATTCAAATTAGTGTGTACGTATGCAGTTGTGTGTACCTTGTTTGCTTGTATGTGTCTGTATAGATTATGTGTGGCCTGTCATTTCAGCTGTAGTCACCTGTGTGTACTTATATGTGTGTGTTTGTGTTTCACCCCAGGGAACCCCAGAGCGTCTGATCATGCACCTGGTTGAAGAACCGTCAGTGGTGGACCCCACCTACATAGAAGACTTTCTGCTGACCTACAGGACCTTCCTGTCAAATCCGATGGAGGTCGGCAAGAAACTGCTGGAGTGGTTCCAGTTGGACAGCCTCCGGGATACGGTGAGTTGGATGAGCGAAAGTTTTGTGGACAAGAAAGGGGTGTGTGTGTGTGTGTGTGTGTGTGTGTGTGTGTGTGTGTGTGTGTGTGTCTCAAGTGGGTCAGCTGGCTGGGATGGGAATGTACAAGTGTTTGTGTCTGTGTAAATGGTGCAGGGTAGTAGTGTTGGGTACGCATTCCAAGTGAAACCAGTATATACTCCATCTATTCTGTTATATTTTATGTGTGCAGTTTTGCAGTACACCCCTTATGCTCCTATCAGCACTCCTTATGTTTTGTATTCATGTATGTTGATGGAAATTCATGTGTTGTGGCGCTCACATGCAGATCAATACAGGACCAGCCAGCTCAGCTGTCCTTGAGCCCAGCAGCAATTTGTTCATGCCTGACACTCCCATTGTCCATAAATGCTTTAACCTAAGATTAGTCTTGTACTGTCAATAGTCTTTATGTGGTTGTCATTCAGGCTTATAATCGTCAGCTCCATTAAACAGGATCTAATCTTGTACAGAAGGAGCAGGGGGAGAGTAACAGAATGTGGAAAGAGGAGGTAAGATGGCGTGAGAAACAAAAGAGAGAGCACAAAGTGGACATTGATTGATGCACTGTGTTGATATTTTGGCTGCCTCTCTGACCTTTTGCCAGCAGTGTAAATTTGCAGAAATAATTGTTTGCCCTTTGATTTAGATTTTTCTTTAAAAAAAAAATCTCTATTATGGGACAAAATTAGGCGGTCAACCAGTGGTTAAACATTTTCACTGCAGCCCTGCACATGGTCATTATTTAGCCTCCCTGCTGTTTCCCATGTTTTACTAGCTGCTGAAGAAGTTTTTTTTTATTTTTTTTTTTTATATTTTTCAGAAAATAAAAGACAGATAGAACTATAATTGGACTGTGTTAAAACTAAAATCTGGCCATTGGGGCTCCCTCATGTTAGTGTAACAGTTGCATTGTTTGGCAGCACTAAATGAGAAATATTTAAAACAGGCAGTTTTTGACAGCATGGTGACAAAACTTTAAAGCACTCATGTTGCCAAGCATTTAGCCTGCTGAAGTGTCCTTGAGAAACTGCCAGCTCCCCAAGTTAAATGGGCCGTCTGACCCAGCACCTACAGTACAAACATTCTGCAAGAGCTCTCAACAAATTTCTTGTCAAAGCAGCTCACACACTGGGTGAAAATACATTGTTACAGGAACTGGGTGAAAAGCAGTGTGCATTTTGGTGTCCCCACTAAATTAAGTTGTGATTGTGTCTTACAGGTAACGAGAATAGTGCTGCTGTGGGTCAACAACCACTTCAATGACTTTGAGGGTGACCCAGCCATGACACGCTTCTTGGAAGACTTTGAGATACGTCTGGAAGCAACAGTAAGATCAAACATACATCCAAATTTAGTTTTTACTTCAGTGCATTTGAGCTGTAATTCAGTTCATCTTTTTCACTTTTTACTCCGTTAAGTTGGTTCATTTTAAATTACAGCAAGACTCTCCCAGTTAGCAAAATTGATTGATACCAACCAATTATTGTGTAATATATATTGTGTATGTATCCTCGTTTAAAAACAAAACTGGTTTTAAATCGGCTCAAAGCATTGCCAGTTGTTTTTCCATCCAAATCTACATTGGACAACTTGAGAAACAAAAGCTAATTTAAATGCAAAACTCCTTTAGGCTCATCATTTTCCCATTTTCCCTGCTTGTCAGAAAATGAAGGGCCATTTGCGGCTGCTGAACATAGCATGTGCAGCCAAGGCTAAGTGGAGACAGATCACTCTGCAGAAGGCGTCCAGGGAGTCGCCGCTCTACTTCAGCGTGCAGGGCGGCAGCGAGAGAGGATTCGGCATCTTTGTTGAGTCGGTGGAAGAAGGGAGCAAGGCTGCAGAGACGGGACTCAAACGGGGAGATCAGGTGAGAGGACAGAATGCGACATCATGTGGTTGAATGGGACAGCTGTGGCTCCAGAGGTTCAGCGGGACTTCCACTGATTATAGGGTTGGCGATTCAATCTCCAACCCTATCTCCACCTCCTCCTGTCCATATGTCGAAGTGTCCTTGGGCAAGACACCAAACTCAAACTGTACCAAATTGCTCCCGATGGTCAGGAAAGCACCTTACATGGTAGCTCTCTGCCATCGGTGTGAGTGGGTTAATGAGAGGTGAAGATTTGTTCACTATATAAAATGCAGCCATAAAGTACAGAGTGGTACTATTAGGTATGATATATTGCTACCAGTTTGTCATGCTTTTTAGTTTATTGTTGTATTTTCTTTCACAAAATAGAATGAATGTGCAATATAATACATAGAATTACATAATTAAATGTTTTATGTAATAGGATGAAATATGATATAGATACAGAATTTATGTGAAACATAGGATATAGAAATGTTTCCACTAAATTATAGGATGCAGAAAGAAAAAATCCATAACCTTAAATCAACTGGTCAAAAGGCACAGTATGTAATTTAGTAATCAGTACAAGCACATATCCAGAAAGATGCATGCTCAAGCTAGATGTTTCGTGTTGAGTCATCTTCCCAACACCAGTGCAGATGTTTTCTTTTTACCACTTTGAAATATATACACATTCATTATACATATACTCTTGATGATTCTTGTAAGAAAGGCTCATAGGACAGGACTGCATGTCAGTCAAACGGAGAGCCTGTCCCCTGGCTCTGAGAAGTTGCTGCTCCTGCTGGTACCGAAGGTCCCAACAGGATATAATTTAGAACGCCACATACCTGCCTATACATTTGAATTAAGACCAAGTCTAAAAAACCTTTTGAGACCTCAGAGATGGACCTTTTGAGACCTCAGAGATGGACTTGTTGACATCATCATTGTGAAGTAAAAATGTTTGGAAGCTGTTTGGACAGCTTTCAGATAAGAAGAGCTTTGATCAGAAAGGTGAGTAAGAATCTAGAGACCTCTAAAGAGAAGAGAAGCCTCCACATTTCAACAACCTCTGCAGCACCTCATCAGTCGTGTGTTTATGATGGGTCAGGGCTAAATGCAAGCCACTCCCGAGTCTGGAGTTAACAAAACGACACTTGTGTCAAGGACTCTGAGCACCTGAGGATAGATAGTGTGGTCTGATGAGAGGAAAATTTCAAAGCACCATATCTGTGAATACCAGGTTCCCCTCATCGCCTGGTTACAGCAAAAACATGATTTTGTCATGTGATACTTTTCAGCAGCAGGAACTTGGATGCTGGTCAGTTTTTATGGAATAGAAACGGGAACCAGATACAGTAGACGTAGGATAAAGATAACATACTCTATAGGACACATGACCTCAAACTGGGGTAAAGATTCACCTCTCAGTACAACAAGAAAAATTAAATTACAAACTACATTGAAGTGGCTTTGGGAATAAATTCCAAATTTCATTCAGCAGCTTAACTGAGAGTTGGAGCTTGAATTGCACTAAAAAACTCTGGATAAAGAGCAAAGTTCATAAAGTCTGGTACACCTTGAGAGGATCTGCAAGAAACAATAGGAACATAATATAGTTGTCCAACTGCCAAGTTTTGATCAGAGGCAACTTGTCTTTGAACATCCATATTGACTATTCTCAAAAAATGTTATCCTGCGTTAAGCTTACTTTATTTCACTAGATGGATAAATTTAAATTTCTAACATGGCTTTTTTCCCTGGTCTAGGTCTGCCTTCATGGTAGATTATCTGACTGTTTGCTTCTTTTTTATATTTTACCAACTACATACTACTCTTCCAAAGATCACATGAAACACCATCGTTACCAGGCAGTCACACCGCACACTTCCCTTCTTGTGTCATTTACAGTAACTGGGTAACCACGTTGTTTACCCTTTACAGTTAATAGACTGCTTGCAGATATTCTCAGTCAAGAGTCAAGAATAATATCATGACAGGTAAGCCAGAATAGAACTATAGTCTTTCAGTCAAGGATAAACTAAAGGTTTTCAGTGGGTGTTTTTATACAGACTAATCTGCACCTCTGTGTCACAGCACTGTAACCAGTTTGGATTGAGCTCTTCATCATTTCTTCTATCGTGTTTCAGATCATGGAGGTCAACGGTCAGAACTTTGAGAACATCTCCGTCACCAAAGCTGTTGACATCCTCAGAAATAACACACACCTCTCTCTCACCGTCAAAACCAACATATTTGGTGAGCTGTATTTGTACTCTCATACTAATACACAATTATTATCAGTGCTAATTATTTATTAGCTCTTTTATTTATCCTCCTCCTCTTTCTGTGCCTCCATCCATCTAGTCTTCAAAGAGCTCCTTAGCAGAATTGTGCATGAGAAAAAGAACGGCGGCCCTCACATTCCCAAGATCCAGGAGAAAAAAGGCAATCGCTTCTCCATCCCCGACCTTCCCGGAGACATGGAGTTTCCTACAGACCACAAGAGCACCAGGAAAATGAAGGCCAACACTGTGTCAGGAGGACGAAACAAGATCAGGAAGATGCTGGAGAAGACGCGCTTCAGTATACTGCCACCCAAACCATTCAGGTAGGAGGATTCATACTAATAATGGTAAACTTTATTTACTTTATTTCACTTACACAAGAGTACAAAGTGCGTTACAAGAGATAAAGAGAGAGAGAGAGAGATAGATGAGAGAAGATGACATGAAATACCACCATGGAGGTCAAAATGCATGAGGACAAAATTTGATAAAAATAGAAAGCAAAATAAAATACATCAACTACACAGGATATAAGAGAAGATAAATTTATGTAAATTGTGTAAATTTATGTTAACACTACTGTCTGCGTGGGTGCAGGCAGTGCTTGAATGGAAATAAAATGGATTAAAAGTAATATTCCAGTCTAAATGTTTTGTTAAAACTTTGTACAAAAAAGCAGGCAGAAGGACATAGAATAACGATGCAGGTATATATCAATAAATCTATTTAACTGATCAGATAGGGCAACTGGGACAACAACAACTAAATTACCTCATAGTACTGTCTGCACCGCAGAATGGTGAGAAAATGTTTAAACGTTGATGGGAATTATGGTCAGAAAACAACTTGGCATGATTGTATTGTCTTAACGATTTATAGGAAGGCAGCTATAATCTATATTTTTATAATAATGTCTCAAATGGTGATGTGAGAACAATGTGAATGGGGTCGCTCGTAGGGAGCTGCTGAATCTGCAGCTCCCCTCAGCTTTAAGCAGCTTTATCGTGAGTTTCAGTGTTTAGCTGCCCGGCCCGGCACTTAACTGTTTTGGTTCACTGTCACCGCTCTCATAGGTCGCTTTCAGCCACAGCAGACAGCTGTTTTCAGTGAAAAAGCTCTATAAACAGACTGTACACCATCTGCTCAGCACCAAAAGGCAAACAGACACAGTTGGAGACTATCTGGTGAACATAGTGGGGCATTTAGCATCGCAAGAGCAAGATATTTTCCCCAGGAGTTGGTGGAAAACAAAACAGAGCTAAATGAGAATGAATATTGAACTTGGTGGCGGTGGCCAGAAAACATGACTCAAAATGAACAATAATGTTGCTCTTTAATTGTTGGAGGTTTGCTAACAAGTCCAGAATATCAACTTAAAAGTAGTTACGTGAGTTCCCACAATACTCGCTAACTGTCTACTGTCTCTGCATCAGTATTGTAGCGAGCTGCAACCATCTGCAGACAGAAAATATTGGAGGCGTGAGCAGAAATCTAAGCATCTGGCTTTGCGACTGAACTGAAGAACTGATTGCACCTCAGAAAGTCATAGAGAAGCACATTTCAGCCTCCTCTTGTGGTTTGTATGAGCAAGAAATGGAGAGATTCTACCCAACTTTAACTTAAACTGCTTACCTAGGTTTATTGGAAATTAGTGGTACACAGTAAAACAGTATGGAAGTCTGTGTTATTTGTAGCTGTAGTTACAGGAACATGGCTTTGAAAATGTGTTTACTTTTGCGTTTTCATACTTGTGGTTTCCTGGGATGCAGTACTCTTATATTCTGCTGCTGTGATGTCGATAGGTTCCAGCCAAATCCCCAAAATGTAAAAGTCATCATCAACATCATATAACCACTGTCGTTGTCATCCATAACCAGCCATTGTACTATCAGCATCTGGAGCAATTCAAAGCAATTGTGCTGATGGAGGCTCACATTCAATATTCCACCCATAACATGCTGATACAGGCTTGATTTCATTTCATCATTTCATGCCTTCCCAGGCCTCATTAAAGTCCATACTGTGTCAGAGAGAAGACGCTGTTCTCGACCTGTTAATTACAGAGTTAACCGTCAGCACGGCTCTCACGCACTGCAATGTGTACCCATGTCCCCTCACTTTTCTCTCTCGCTGCTATCCGTTTCCAGGTCTGTGACGATGTTCACAAAGCCACGCAGTTTGCTTGAGAACTGATTGTGCTCTGTCTCATGATGCAGCACGCGATCACACGGCCATTGATCCAACTCGATGCACAGCTTCCAAAGACTCTCCGCTGCGTTCTATTTATCGACCAAACAAGGGCTTTCATTGCTTTTTATTTTGCTTGTCGGCGCCATTCAAACCACTCTTTGGTTCAAAGGAATAGAGGGCTGATGAAAGGGACTGGAGATGAGACGGGTGATATGGGTCAATGGGGATTCATCAGTGCCTATTGTAGGATGAAATTTTGACAGGAGGCAACATTGTGAAGTTGTCAATCTGTATGTTGCATTTGCTCACTTCTTAAACATCAGGCAAGTTAAATTAAACCAAATAATATAATAATAAACTTTATTTATTTAGCACCTTTCAAAACACAGTTATCTTGTTCAACACTTTAAAATCTTATTCAGATGCTCTTGCGCAGTTTGCGTGCTCACTGCTGCTGCTTCTTTATGTTCTTGGCTGACATTGTGCTCCACTTCAGACAAGGATTTTATATGACAAGGACACACTGGCTATAAACAAGTTGTTTTTCTGCCAAATTAAGACGTCCGGGTCTGTGCGTACACCTTTACATACATGCTGTATTGACCAACCCAGTAGATTTACATTGCACAGATTGGAAAGCAATAGACAGAGGTTTTAGCCTTTAGTCAGTTTGTCTCAGAAGTCTAGGTGATTTAGTGAGATGACGATAAAGTAGTAACCCCATGTCCCATGATGCCATTTTCATCCTCTTTACTTCTTTGTGATACAATTAAATGTAGTAAATCGTGATGCGTAACTCTATTAACTGTTGTGTTGAGTCACATGGTTGTGCATCTCAACATTCACCCCACAAGACCACATTTTACTGCATGCTCACTGCGCCACGTCTACACTGCTGCTGCTGCACCTGCAAAAAATATGTCTCTAAATCTGTGCTGGCATTATGAAACTGCTGCTGACATTATTCTGCTTATGTCATTTATGTGTGCCCAAACTATGGCTATTGTATATTCTGTCAACCAACATGTGTGTTTGTGCTGTTTTGAGTGTGTGTGTGTGTGTGTGTGTGTGTGTGTGTGTGTGTGTGTGTGAGCTCTGCTTCAGTTTTTTGTGGTGTTTTCTTTTTGTTGTTCACGCTTACGCAATGTTCACGCAATGTCGTCTCTCTTCCCGTTTGTCTCTGCTGCTTCAGGGGCCTGTTTGGGTAAGGATTCTTGCGTAACTCCCCATCCTCTAACCATTTGATTCAGTATCCATCTGCAGACCCACACACACACCACTGACCTTCAGCAACATTACTAGAGGACTGCATTTGTCGATTTCATTTAACACATAAATCCCGCTTTTCCTCAGATTTGAGGTGTTCCTTCCTTCTTCAGTTAGATTTGTGTTCAACACTTTCTAAAATCAGTCTTAGATGTTCTGTTATTCAACCAAAGGTACAGTATTCTGCAGGGATGTAGCAGAAAATATCAAGGAGGCCATGGTTTATTTCAGTGTTGAGTGTTACTGGCTAAAGTTGGTCTGGGTTCTTCTTGATGTTGAACAGTCACAACATGAGCACCAGCTCAACAGTGTCAGATTAGTCTTATTTGAGACCCGTGCTAGTCTTATCTCTATCAATTTCACCATTATACTCTTTCTAAATCTCCTTTGTCAATTTCTCCTCCTTTATCCGCTACCCACCAAGTTATCTTACCTTCTGTTTTACTGGGGGGAGGTTCTATTTCTTTCCTCTACTTTTCTTTTCTTCCACTGCCCATGTCTGTTTTTACTGTCCTTCCATCTTTTTCTCTCCCCTCTTTCTTCAACCTTGTCTGTGAAGCACCTATCGACTGGTGACTCGAAGATTCCAGAGGCTTTGCTACAGCAGCACACGTCCGTGTTAGTGGAAGCCCTGCATTACTGCACAGTGCTCAGTACACACTTTATGGACACACACACACACACCTTGAGGGAAGCTACAATTAGTATGCAGGCAGGATGAGATGAACACTCTCTCTGATACTCAGTTACAGACTGTGACTCAAACTCACAAGCATATTTGAATGTGTGCAATGTTTATTTAACATGCCGAATTCAGATTATATTGCTTCCGTTCGTCTTCGTCTTCTTCTTCTTCTTCGTCTTCTTCTTCTGTTTGTTGTTCCACTCTCAAATGCTCTAAATGTGTGTACTTTAAATTGATGAAGTAAATTCCTGATACTGCTAAAGGTCTTACACTACCACTAAAAGTCTTACATTTTGTCAGATTTGAAATGTCTTAAAAAGCATTGAATTCAGTTTGTTGAACAATTTTAAAAAAAAGAAAAACAGTCTTACAATGTAATAAACAGTCCACAAGTACTCTTCCTCTCATAATAGGCAATTTTTTTAATCATAATTATCTGGGTCCCGGTCACATTGATTTTATAAATATATTATTAGAAATTTTTTGTTACAAACTGCTGGGAACTACTGTAAAGAATGTGATATAATGATAAATAAGTCTAGGCCATAATGTCCCTACTGGTTTTCCATCATATTTTCCTACTTGCCGAAATGATCATGAAACGGGTATTAAATTGCATTCAATGAGATATTAAAGCCTTAAATTTACATTTAACTTACCTTGCAGAAAGCTGTCACAAGTGTTTAAGAAACTGCTATCCAACCTTTACATTATCATTTGAGGCTGGGCTATTCAACATCACAATACCCAACCTTTCTGTCTATGGGTTTGCCTAGAAAGACTTGCCATTTCTGTCACGTGTATGCAGATCCAGGCAGTCTAATGAGACCATTAATGTAAAGGTTGATGTTTGCATATCCCCGAGCGCAGCTGAAGAGTGAGGTAGAAAGGCGCCTGTCTCTCAAATGTCCAGTTCAGCCGCATAATGTGTCCAACTGCTGTACACACACAAGAGAAAAGAGCAGGGCCACAAAATACATATGTGTAAATGAAACCACTCTCAAAAGTCACGGGAAAACATCTGAATGAGCTAAATCCTCATTACTTATCATTTATTTTCACATGTGCTCTGCTGTTTGCAACGTTTGTGTCTCTGTTAGCTCATGTGTGCCTCTGTTGTTGTCTCATGTTGTGTTTGATGAACTATTCGTGAATGCTCCTCATCAGTTCCTGCCGTTCATGAAACCGCCTCATGGATGAATTTCAGCTGTGTCCCTGCTGTATATTAAAAAGATAAATATAGTGATGTTGATGTTTGTGTTGTTGTTCTGCAAGAGTAGACATTTTGATTCAATCTCCTGATGTTATGAGTTGTGATTTTTACATTATTTAATATTATCTCAAGATGAAGGGGAAACACTCCTAAAACAAAGGGGGGAAAAACATCCAGGTAGTTCTTTGAAAAATGTCTACTGCTGCAGAACAAAAGTGTAAAATCAATTTAAGAGAAAATCTAATTTTGTTGTTTGTCTTTCTCTTTCTTTCTCACCCTTTTTCTTTGAATACCATCCGTCCTTTCCCCTGCTCTAACCTTAACCCCCCTTGTCTTTACTTTCCTCACCTCCCTACCGTCCCTGCTTTCCTTTGTAGTGATGGTGGCATGGGTCAGTCTCAGGATGACAGCATTGTGGGTACCAAGCAGTGTCGTCACAGCGTGGCCATCATGCCCATACCTGGAAACCTGTCATCCAGCAGTCCCGACCTGCTGCAGCCGGCCACCAGTGTCCTCGACTTCTCCAACCCAGCAGGTAAGAAAAAAGAATTAGTATGTAGTATTAAATTGGGACACAGCTGCCATTTTCCTTTCCAGTGAAGGATTATTATTGATGCTCACTTTTGATTTCATTATCTGGCTAAACTTTTGGCCTGTCTTATTGTCTCAACACTCTATTTTATTTTTTATTTTTTTCTTTCAGTAATTTGGTGAGTACAATGTTATCATAACCATAAGACACTATGGCCAAGGCACCCCGGTGGCCTGATTGTTAAGGTGCATAACACATAACCGCAACATAATCCACGGTTCGATTCCCAACCATTGGGACCTTTGTTCCATCTCATACTTTCCTCTTGCTCCCTACATTTCCTGTCTGCATCTCTACTACCACTGTCAAACTCTTTGAGTCTTTCATACTAAATGCATTTGATGGTTCGTTAAGTAAACTTTAAAAAAATATATATCTTGAGAAACACATCCTGAAACTTGTCTTTCTAAGTGAAACTCAGTAAAGGTCAAACATGAAACACAGGGTTGAAATGAAGCACATTCATGCAAACACATTTCTTTTTACAAATTACACAAATAAAAGACACAAACCCCAGATTCCTAGCATCCATAAAATCCCTCCTTTTTTTTATTTTTTTGTGTACAACACAAGTGCAAGTACGTGTATGTTTAAGCGAAGCAAAACTTTTATTCAGAGTTATTTATGACCTTCATGGTCTTACTTCAGGTGTCCCGGTCAAACAATTCAGTGCTACTTTCCTGAAGCTCTTTGTCTCACTTGACTTGAGACCTCTGTCTCATTGAACAGTGAAAGCCACTGGAGTAAAGGACTCCAAAGCTCAGAGACGCTGTACTGACAGCGCTTGAATATAATCACATAAAGCAGCCATATGAGAAGCGTAGTGTTGTTTGCACTTAGTTGTCTCGAACACAAACTCTGCGTCTCTCCTCTTCTATCTTTCCCCCTCCATGAAATAAAGGCAAATTCCTCTACAACACTTATGCTTACCAGTGCTGACAAAGGAACACACACATTCACTCACTCAAAGCAAGCAACTGAAGGTTTGTAGCATAGGTGCACACACACATTCACACTCACACATAGCCTGGGTTTTCTCTTTTTGGAGTGCCACAGAATTTTGTCTGTCTGACAAGAAATAACCTCCTGGACTATAAGATGTATTTATTCCATCACTGGACGGATTCTGCTCCCATATTTATTAAAACCAACAAGGACCAATCCCTTTGTGTGATTTGTGTATCTGTGTGTTAGTGTGAATGAAATATTGAGACAGGGTAGAACAAAGAGAAAGTGGGAAGGTGAAAGCAAGTTAGAGAGTGAATGTGGTCCTGATTTATTCCACCGGCCATTTCTCAATAAGTTACACACAGACTGACGCACACTCATGTACAAACCCCTGCACGTAGATCCCTGGATTGTAGAACTATGCTTCGCATGTGGTTTTGTTGTACTTGAGTACAAACAAACACGGAAACTGGGCCTCATAAATAATTCGCCTCCAAAGTCCTTCCTCTGATGACATTAGCATAGGGATCAAAAGCTGTTGCATCAATTTTAACCTTTCAACTGTTCATACTGGAAAGTATGAGCAACATGGCATAACAACAAGTTATTGTTTTGGATTGGTCGAACTTTTTAGTACTTAGACCTTTAGCTTGTTTTCTTTGTTATTGTTGCCTATCATGGGCAGGACACCCTTAGAAAATTCTTAATCCTAATGAGACTTTAGTAAAGTAAAGTTCTTGCTTAAATAAAGTGTTACTGATATAGTCTCACTTTATTAGACCATATTAGCAAAAGTGAGTAATTGGACACACCTTTTCTCTCTCTCTCTTGCGTTTCTCTTGCTATGATTTTAAACAGATGTTCTAGTGTCGAGTCGGCATGATGAGTTACACTCAGCTCCTCTGGTTTCCCATGAACAGATTAAAGCTGCAGTAGAGAATCCTCTGGTCTTCCCTCCTTTTTCTCTTCTGTCATGATGTTTCCAACCACTATGTCTCTTTGTACTCCTCCTACGCTCTCGCTTTCTCCCATACTTACTGTGTTTTCTCCCTTTCTTTTCTGCTTACCAAGCCCTGGGACTGTACTGTAAGTATACATACCTTCAATGCCATTGTTTGATTGTGCTTCGGGAAATATTTCTCCCAAATGCCTCCTCCATCTTGACTTTTTTTCTTTAATTCATGAACTTATTTTCCACACTCTGTCTTTGCATCTCTGCATCCACAAACTGCATTTAGAGTGCATTTAAAGTCCACCTGAAATTAAATAGAATTTTTTTACCTGCTGCAGTGTACACACGTGCTGTGTAAATCATTTGTGTTGTCCTTTTAGAGAAACAAATCACATACCAATAGGGAGAAATATTTTTTTGGTTTCATGATGGTGCCTCCTACTGTATCATTGAATTAATTCATCAAAAAACAGTTAGTTCCATGTCTACATAAATGGACAACTTCTTTCTGTACATCCAATAAAATAGCTTTGTTTTAAATGATATATGCAGAAAGACGTAATGTAAACTTTCTGTCATAGGCAGAGCAGACGGTCACACTGAGCCAGACAGCCGCTACACAACACAAGGGCCACAGACTTTGAACAACCACATTAGTGAACCACAAACACTCATCTTGTCCTGCACCTTAGGTTGTCGAACGAACAACCAAACAAACTTTTCACCAGTCCACTGCTAACATGAGCTGATGGCTTGATGCTCAGCTGCAGCACATTAAAGAGCATGTAAACGTCCCTATAAATGTCACTTCGATCCATCTGGTTACTGGTGTAGTTCTTAGTCTTCATCAACACGCTGTCAGCCCATGGCTTCTAAGCTACAGTGCAAGTTTGCTTACTTTGTCTGTTCCCCTGTCACCGTTACCAGAGCTAAGCCTGCAGGCTGCTGTCAATCAGGCACAGCCACCGACATACACCTCCAGCTGCTGAGACAGAAAGGAGCATGAAGGAACATGGCGCCTAATGCAACCATATGGCTTTATCGTGTGTCTTACTGAAAAAAATTCTTATGATAAGAGTCTTATCACACAGAGCCATACGTAGTGTCGAGCTCTGACTACAGAGACCATGCTCAGGTTAGTTAGGTTATGTTAGAAGGATAGAGGCAATGTTGGTTTTTGTCTCTTATGGGGGGATTGGTGATACTAAAACATAAAATATCACCAGCCATTTCCTTTAAGCTAAAGAGGATGTTCAGGAATTCATTTGTGTTTATTTATTAGATACTCCACTCCCTTCTGAGCACCTCAAGCTATCATGCCCTGCCCTCTTCTGGTCTGTAAGCTTTCACATAGCTTTCACATGGGATTTATGTCTTCCAGCTGCATGATGGAGTGACTGGGAAAAGCTTTGGCAAACAGTAGAGAGGAGGGCGAGGAGGATGAGGAGGAGACTGAGACTTGTGGGAAGTGTGCAGCCTCTTTTAGTGCTGCGTTTGCAAAAACCCAAGACCTTTTTTTCCCAGTGTAGAAGTCCTCTTTGGCTTTGAATAAATGAATAAATTCTCTGGTGTTGATGAAAATGAACGATACCTTATTAAAGATGATAATTGATTGAATGTTTGGCTGGATGGGCAGCGATTGTCCTCCTGTGTGCAGACCAGGTCGCAGCTCGTCCGGTGGATTAAATATGATTAAGCCCCCCCAGATGTGATAGCCAGCTATTTAGCCGAGAGCTTCCACACTCAAATCACAGATAATGAGACACAAAGCATTTAGCCTCCGCTCAGCCCACCTTCATCACCGTGCTGCACAAACAGAGAGGAGCTCTGCTACTGCAGCAACGCAGAAAAAAGGGAAGGAGCCACAGGCGTGAGGATAAAACTCAATAATCATTTGATATGACAATCATATTAAGTGCAAATGTCATGTGATTTAAATCAATAGCCTCACAGTCCAGAGAGGTCAGTCATAGTCAACATTGGGCTCCAACATCAAAATATGTCCACATTCCAGGACCCATTAAATGCAAAATCAAAGTGAAGTGAAATTCAGACATTATACAAAGCAGAAAAACATCTGGATGCTTGGATTCATATCAAGAAATAAGTCTGTGAAATGCTTATACAGAGAAGCAACAACAACAACAGCAACATGTTTATACATGGACACATCCAGAGTGATGCTACGTCCCCTTCAAAGAAACCTCACTACTTTCTTTCACACATCACAGATATTGAAAATACAATGAAGCCCATACAGAAACAGTGACACACCAACAAGCTCTTTAAACAAGCAGAGGTGATTTATTATCAGCATTCACTTGAACATTATTATTGGCTTTACCTTCAGCAGTTTGTTCCTGCTTATTGTGCTGCTGCTATTGTAGTGATGATGATAATAAAGCTGCCGCAGCTATAGACATCTAAACACGCTAGCACGCACACACACCTAAAGAATCCCCACAGTCACAGACAGATCAGAGATCTGTGTCCTAATAAAGATGAAGGTAATGACTTTGTGTCTGACCACGCTTAACCCTTTTCTGCATGGTAGACAAGGAGGAAGCAGTTGTGTAAGTGTGCATCACTTGAACAGGCTCATTAGTCAAACAGACCTGGGTTTTTTTCTTCTTCTAGATAGAAGACAGATAGAAAACTTTATTGTCATTGTCACATGTACAACGAAAATGTCAAAGTGCTGACCAGCCAGTGCATCATTCCTAAAATATAACTTAAGTAAGTAAATAGTATCTAAAAAGCAGCACGAACAGGCATTCATATACACATACACAGTCATACACTTACAACAATACTACAATCCCTCAATCACTTCAGATCACTTTAGCAGTGTTGATTACAGTTATTGCAGATGGGTAAAAGCTGTTTTAGAGTCTATTTGTTTTTGCCCTGATGGATCTGTACCGTCTGCCTGACGGTAACATTTCATGTCCTTTTAGAATGTTCTGGATTTTTTTTTTTAGACAGCGGGAACTATGTAGTTCTTCCAGTGTGAGGAAAGGGCAGCCAATGATCTTCTGTGCGGTGTTGATGACCCTCTGAAACACATTCCTGTGAGACCTGTGTGACCACACGCACATGCAGTATGTCAACATGCTTTCAATAGAGGCTTGGTAGGAGGAGCCCAGCAGCCTCTGTGTGATGTTGTTCCTCCTGAGTACTCTCAGGAAATAAAGTCTCTGCTGGGCTAGATGATCTCTTCGTGATCTCCCTCCATTTTCAGTTTACGTGATCAAGCTCTTTTGCTGTCTGTGGCTAATGGGCCAAACCCTCTTCCTTACTCAAACACAGGCATCTTTAATGCAATATTTCACTCACTCGCTAATAAACACACTGTGTGAGTCGCATCCAGCATCAGCTGCCCCAGGAGATTGTAGCTTTTATTTTGTCTTTTCTGTTAAGTTTCTGTCTTTAAATTGATTAAACAATAATACAGTATGTCATCTAACATGGCAAAACAGAGTCATTGTGAGAGATGATGCAGTTTTATTGTTTCTTTATGAATTATTAAATATTCATAGCTTCTAAATGGTGCATTACATAATATGATTTAGTAAATGGTTTAAGTTTTAATGATTCATTATTCACTGATTAAGTCAATCTGCAGGTCTTTCATAATCTTAAATGACGCTGGACGCATAGCTATAGCATTGCTTCATCTATAATGTTATTTGCGGTAGGTGACAGGACTCAAATGTAATTATTACATCAAAATCAGAATCAGCTTTATTGCCAAGTAGGTTTACACATACAAGGAATTAGCTTTGGTGTTTTGGTGCTACAATAAACAATAAAATGGTGTTAAAAACAAAAGTATGACCGGGTCACGTAACCAAAAGAAAGTGAGAGATGATAATATGTCGGTATCATTGGACTGATTGTCCCTGCATGTTTGCTGTGAGATTCCTGCTGCCTCCAGCATTATTACGCTGCTCACAGCACCCTATTTTTTCCTTTCCCTTTCTAAGTGCACGTGTCCGTTTCTTTATCTTGCTCAAGCTTTGTGTGAAGCTTAGAAAGGCTGTAGTGTTTGTGTTTGCTGTGAAGGATGAGTAACCTGTGATGTCATTAATCATGCCATGTGTACTTATTTCCCCAGAGTCATTGACGAGATTTGTTTTTGATGTACAATGTACAGAGGTATAGTCTATGGGATGTTAAACATGTTTAACATAAAGTGCAAGTAATGTTATTAAACTGTAGTTAGAAACAGCAGTAAAACAATCAGGTCAGATAGATAGGTTAAAACGGTAAGATAATTTAGCAACATCATTGGTGAATGTAAATAGTTGGGTACGTTGAATTTCAAATTTAGGTCACTGTAAAAGCTGAAACCAGTGTGTGTATGTCTTTGACCCTTTCCCCATTTGGTTATACACCAGAGACTCATTGGCAAGAGAGAGTAGTCAGCTCAGCAGATCTGTCCAGAGTCCAGGACATAATTCTTGTCACCTGAAACCTTCAATAATGTAATGAAAATAAAATATCGAAACCATAAACTTATATTATTCTTGCCATTACTGGCACAGCCCACATTTCATAATGATCACATTATTGGTACATTACTCAGACAAAGATAAATGCCAAAGATAGCAATCGAATTAAAAGCACTCTATTATTGTTGTAGATATCATTACATTTTGTTTTATTGCATTATTGGAATCTGTTACAGCAGTGGTCTCCACATACTGTAACCATCAACTCATCCAACCTTAAGTAGTCTCTGACGGCGCTCCTCTTTTCTTTCTCTTTCAGACATCCCAGACCAGGTGATTCGGGTGTTCAAGGCCGACCAGCAGAGCTGCTACATCATCATCAGTAAGGACACCACTGCCAAGGATGTGGTCGCCCACACTGTCAATGAGTTCGGCCTGATCGCAGCACCCGAGAACTACTCCCTGTGCGAGGTATCAGTTAGCCCGGAGGGAGTCATAAAACAGCGCCGCCTGCCCGACCAGCTCTCCAAACTGGCTGATCGGATTCAGCTCAACGGGAGGTAAGAAACACAATAATATTATTTTGGAATCTATATAATACTAGGGGCTTATACAAATGTTAGACTTTAAAGTTAATCAGATTGTATTTTAACATGCACAGGCCTTAGCTTTAGCTCATGGTTGTCAATGGCTTTTTCTCCAAAGTGAGGCCAAATGTGGCAGAAACGAGTGTTTCTGTTTCTGCAACTTAAAGTACGCAAAGCAACAGACGAGAATACTCAGTAGCTGAAGTTTTTCATTGCCAGGCAAGCACATTGGTCATGGAAAAAGGCATGGACCTGTAGTTACAGTAGATCCACAGTGGGGAATCTTGGATGGAAAGCAGCTGAGGTGGAACAGAGAATTTGAGAATTTATATACACCCATGTTGTGTTAAAGGATTGAAGGACTAAACTAAAGCGATGACCTGCAGTTTTTTTTCTGGGTTTTTACGCAAGGCCACAAAGTGCTCTGTATCTTGTACACTGTGAGCTTTATTCTGTAAATAGATTCCTAACTCTGTACAGCGCATAAATTTAATCCGCTACCACAACTTTCCCAAATCACTACTTGTACAGCACCTCCAGATTTCATACTGTACAGTACAACAGTTTGAGCTTAGCTTTACTAGAAAGTTGATCATGTACAGAACATATATATTGATTAAATTCTCCTCGAGTGGTGGTTCTCCATCCTGTTCCTGGGGCCACAGGGTATTATTCCACGATGTACTGAATTCACTTAACATTTCCGAAGCATAAATCAGTTTCTGAGTAAATGGCTCGAATGAAAACCAGCAGGGCTCCAGGTGCTGGGGAGTGGGATTCAGAACCACTTCCCTAGTTCAGTGCAATGATAAATCTAGTGGTGTTACCCATTAAAAGGGCCTGGGATAAAGTTGCTACTCTGAGCAGAACACAAACTGCAGTTTGTCCCATTAATACACAAAAAACAACAGTGAATTGCATACAATGAAAGTTAAGTGATATTTTACAGTTAAATGATGAGGGATTCTTGATTTTTCTGTTTCAACAACTTATCTTTTGTGTAATGTTTTGTGTGAACCAAAACACTATAGCCAGTATATATTTTTTAGATGTGTCCCCGTTTGTGCCACATCACACTGTCGTCTTCATGCCAGACACATTCCCTTTTAAGATGAAAGTTAGTAGGACATGAAGAATAATTGGACAGCAGCAATAAAGTCTGCTTTTAAAATGGCTTCTCCGTCAGTTTTCACAGTTTCACAGTCTCTCTCTCTCTCTCCTGTGGTCCCTCATCAGTCAACTAGGTTACCATGAATATTTCATCGTCTGTCAGGGGCGGCGGCCTCAGCAGACAGCAGGGCACGCCTGGAATTATTCATACACAAACCCACATGCACACACAGGCACATACAAAGATATAGATACAGACAGTCACCTTCTTATCCACAGTCACGCATCCATACACATAGAGACACATATGCGTGTATTTGTATTCATAGATCCTATGTATATGCATCTATACACGCACATTCTTGCCAAGAAAGTCTCAAACATGTATGGACAGAGTCGCACGCATTTAGAGACACACACACTCACCTAGAAGACACTTATGGTAACACGCTCCCTGTGTTTTTGATGGATAGCTGCGCTGCACGGACAAATTCCCTTACTGTGAGATATTAGGAGGAAAAATGCTGGTTTAACTGTAGAGGTATGAACAAGCAATATATATGGATAGCTCCTCTCATACTTATTTATTTACTTTTCCTCTTTTCTTTCATATCCTGTTAGTTATTTATAGCAAAATAAAACATTTGCCTTTACAGATTGTTTATCTTGACGTTTCTGACGTATTGACAATCGACTGCCGTGTTTGGCAGTATTTTTATATACATACATATACGCAGTGCAGTATCAGCAGGATGTACATGTAGTACGTGTTTTTTATCTATCCATCTTTCTAGAGAGATATAGATATCACAGTTTGCGTACAGTATCTCTGCCTCTTCTCTTTCTCTATATCTCGCCTCCTCTGTCTCTCGCTCTTTGCTGCTGATGATTGACAGAAGGTCTAACGGGTCATGCCAAGCCAATAGAAAGCGTTGTTCACACTGCCAAAATACATATAGCTGTGAGATCCTATGCTACAAACACACCCACACCCACAAAGCACCAATGGCCATTTATGCTGTTTCCAGTGTCTTCATTTCGCCAGCTCTATTTAGCACCACTTTCTCCATTATTAATTTCGTCTCCTCCTATATATGTACAGAATTGTGTTTTTGTTTTTCTTCCATGATACTTAAGTTTATTATTGTAATTTTAATTTGAGGAAGAAAACTGGACCATTAAAGGTCCCCTCTCGTCTTCTCTTCTGTCCTTTTGTGTTTCCTGTGCTCTCCTGAGTGTAATAATAATAATATAATAATAATCTTTATTTGTAGAGCACTTTACACTTGTTAAAGCACTTTGTAACTTGTTTTTGAAAAGATGATAATACCCAAAAGACAAAAACATGCCTTGTGCTTTATCAAAAATGTAAATTCAGCTTGCTCCTTTTTACCTCACATCCTCGCATCTCCTCTTGTTAGTTGCTCTTCTCTGCAGCTCTTCTGGCAGAGTAACAGAGGACAATTTAGAGCCACGTCCATGCCAACACTTTGCCCCTGAGGGCTGTAGGTCTACAGGGCGCTAAGATGCTGCATTCCTAGATGACCACATTACAGCTCCATTAGAGTGGACTTTGGGAGTGGGGGGTTTAGATTTATAAACATAGAAGCACATAACAAGGTAAGAGAGATGGCCTGCTGCTAGAGGCTCTCACAGAAAACTGTTGGACATCAGGCCTGAAGAGAAAGGGCTCTTTCCTTCTCATTCATTTCACCGGTCGTCTTTCCTGCCTCTCTTTTGCTGAGCGCCCCTCTCTCCTCTCTCATTCTGTCTCTCACCATCTTTACCCCAAGGTAAAATATGACCGTAATCTGTCAATACAGTGTTTTTTCCTCTTTCCTGAAACTAATCTTAAGTTGGAGACAGAAAATGTGCCCCTTTTAGGATCAAATGTGAATGGGAGGAACATTCAGAAGATTTATCTAGGGTGGGTTTTTTTTTTTTTTTAAGAGAAAGTTACAGCTGGCTGAAAAACTGGATCCTGTCCACCCACTTGTCTGCCTCTGCAACCTATATTAATGCATCTGGGGATACTGCAGATCTAGCACCTAGCGCTCTAAAAATACACAGGGATGGTATCACTCAAAGTATTTTACATCCTGCATATCCTGTACTCTTTGTAATTAATGTCAGTTAATCCCCCTCTCTGTCTTTAGACTCAAAGGCTTAGACCTCATTATTCATCTTTCTTTTTTTGTTGTTTGTTTTTTTGCAGGATTTGTGTAGCTCCTGGGGTTTCTCAGAAGTGATAGACTGGCAAGAGAAGTCTGGGGATATCAGAATCTTATTATGAATAACTTCATAAGATAATTGCAGAAATATAGTTTGCAATGCCTTCATTACATTAGATTGTGGTTTTCATGTGTGTCCACAACAGGACCAGCTATAGTAGAACTTAAACACTTTTTATATATATATATATATATATATATATATATATATATATATATATATATATATATATATATATATATATATATATATATATATATATATATTATATATATATATATATATATATATATATATATATATATATATATATATATATATATATATATATATATATATATATATATAAACCTTTCCAAGCTGTTAAAAATGAACGTTAACAAACCAGGAAGAAATGTTTTTAATTCATAGTAATGCTCAAACATCCACATCTTATCATCTTTCCCTCTGCTCCTTCTGCTGTAGGTACTACCTGAAGAACAATATGGAGACGGAGACGTTGTGTTCAGACGAGGATGCCCAGGATCTCCTCAGAGAGAGTCAGATATCTCTGTTGCAGCTCAGCACCATGGAGGTTGCTGCCCAGCTCTCCATGAGAGACTTTGAACTCTTCAGGAACATCGAGTCCACAGAGTATGTAGTTGTTTAACATTTTAATTGGTATGGCTGTTTTGTATGGAAGTTTTCAAAAACGAACCTCATAAACTGTGTTACAGTCAAGACAAAAGATAATGAAACAAGCTCAGACAAGACAATAGGAGGAAATAAAACTACTGGTTGTACATTGAGCACCACAGTAATTAGTCTTTGTACTCTGTTTCAAAAGATCTATTTGAACTTCTTTGTCATGGTTCCCAGGTACGTCGACGACTTGTTTAAGCTAGACTCCTCGATTGGAAGTGGTAATCTGAAAAAGTTTGAGGAGGTGATAAACCAGGAGACCTTTTGGGTCGCCACAGAGATCCTGAAGGAACCCAACGCCCTGAAGAGGATGAAGACCATCAAACACTTCATCAAGATCGCCCTGCACTGCAGAGAGTGCAAGAACTTCAACTCCATGTTCGCTATTATCAGGTGGGCTCGGTGTAGAAACTGTCTTAAGAGGGTATTGGCGTTCTAAATTAAGAATGGTGACACATGTTTTCATCATTTTTGCCTCCTAGTAGTAGCTTCAAAGACAGGATTCTTGTTCTGTGGCGACAGCTAGCATTAACTCCGTCTCCCCTGACAGCTTTTGTGCCACATGAGCTTTGGCCACAATCTCCTTCACCACATCCTCAGGAGAACCTGCCTCACCTCCTTCCCTCTCCCTCCCCCTCCTGCCTGCTCACTGAATCTGCCCTGATTCTCCTAAACCACACAGACGCTGCCTCTGCAGTCTTACAGGGTCCCATAGCAACAGCTACACTTATTGTTTGTTGCTATTGTTAATTCCCTCGGATTCTGTGGTTTGGCTCTAGATGCCTGTAAGACTGAGCTGAGGATGTGTGTACTGTGGCCCTGTTATAGGGGGATAAAACCCTCTTGAGGGTAGGCAAGTTAGTGCTGGTATGGTGTTTTAAGGATGAACTTGGAGATGTGATTGGGTTTGAACCCACCAGTATTTGCATACGTGTGTATTCATGAGCAAGTGTGTCTGGGTTTATGCTGGAAATTACTCACTTACTGTATTCATCTGTTTGTATTTATGAACGCATTTTTAATACTACATTATAATATGTTTATTTATATAGCACCTTTCAAAACAAAAGTACAACAAGCAAAAATTAAATAGAATAAAACATAATACAATAAAATGAGATAAACGACGTATGTTATGTACTGTATTGTCATTGTGCCTTGTTAAACTAAAAAAAACTAGACACAGGGCCTCTCTATTACCTTAGGATGGGATGAAAACACAGGGGCCACCTCAGGACTTTACAATTGCCGTTTTTAATTGGCCTTCGGAGCCCCTTAGGGTATAGGGCAGTTGCCCATTTTGACCGTTCTGTTCTAGGGCCACTTCAGTTTTCCCTATATTTGTTCATCTGTAAAACATCCTAAATTTTTAGACAGGTGACACTATGTCTTATTCAGTAGTGTCTTCTCAGTCTTTGGCAATATCAAAACTAAAAGCAGATTTCTAGGTCCTGCAGCTGTTTCTTATTGATCTAAAAATAACAAACACGCACAAAAAAACTAATTAAATGTGATGCCAGTTTCCAATATATATGCTTTTTAACCAGACCATACCTTTGACAAATGCACTGTGGTTAGATGATAAATCTTTTTTGAATTACACGTGCACTGAAAGTACATTTTTGTTTGAAAAAATTAAAAAGATCAAATAAACAAACCGATAAGAAATATAAGAAGTGTAGATCAATCCTGTAGAACCTTTTAATGAGGGCAGCTCAGCTGGTAAGCTTCCGTTGTGCTTCCTGACTATGATTAATCTAAACTAATTATTTTTATACATACAATAGCAACATTGTGGCCTCATTGCCAGACCATGTCAATGGGACCTGGAGATGATGTCATCTGTCCATGTTTGCTCATTTTCTGCTGCAACACTGTCCCAGTCCCGAGAGTAATTTATTCAAAAACAGCACGTCATGTTCTCTCTGTTGCCTAGCCTGGTTAATTGGACGTTTGTTTTGTAGTGTGCTCTTCGACAGTATCTTTAGTATAAACAATCACTGATGATATTTTCTGCAATATTACAGCATCATGCGTTAAAACTAAATGCATGATGATGCAGTTCTGCAACAGCTATCTCTGTAATATATGTAATATTATTACATCTACAGTGATGCACATTAATATTACAGTTTCTGCAATACAACCTTCTCTCGACTTTCTTTCTTAATGTACCAAGGAGTCTTAGCTGTCCTCTTAGCTGTAACATTGGGTCTTAGATCTGAACTCATATTTTAAGGAGCTGAGCAGTATGGTGATCCTCTGTTCGCTGCTGTAAAAGGCTCTTCAGAACAGAAGAAGTGTCTGACCTCCACGTACCTTGACACTCCTCCCAACAGCAGGAGGTCTTAGCACATATGGCTCTCTGATGCATAACCTGCCTGGTGACAGGGGTATTGCTGGGAGGTGTGTGTGTGTGTGTGTGTGTGTGTGTGTGTGTGTGTGAAAGATTTCATGCAGAAAGTCTGGAAAAACAAACCTGTTCCTACACAAGAGAGAAAAAAGTGAGGGAGACACAGAAAGGTAGTAGCAGCAGTTGAGATGATGAGCGAAAGAGCAAGGGACAGGAACTGGACAGATAATGAAAGACGAGAGCAGAAATAAATGCTGTGTCAGTCATAATTATCAGCTGTCTAAATGAGTCTGCTCAGCGATGACATCGCCTCAAAGGGGCCGCCTTCTCTGGAAAATGGAGACCTTGCTAACTGAAGATAGTTAACTCGAAATGGAGTAATTACTGCCAGTATGGGGTTTTGATTTGGATGGATTGAACATACACACTAAAACGATACTCCTTTCTTCTTTCTCCTCTCCCCTCCTTTCCCTCTTCCCCCTCCCTCATTTCTACCTTCACCCTTCTCCTCCCTTCTTCCCACCATAACCTATTTATCTCTGCCTCCCTGCTTCCTCTCTGCCACCCTCCTTGCGACCCTTTCGTCGCTCACACAGTGGCCTGAACTTGGCACCGGTGGCTCGGCTGCGGAGCTCGTGGGAGAAGTTGCCCAGTAAGTACGAGAAGCTGTTCGGAGACCTGCAGGATGTCTTTGACCCGTCCAGGAACATGGCCAAGTACCGCAACATCCTGAGCAGCCAGAGCATGCAGCCACCCATCATCCCGCTCTTCCCAGTGGTCAAGAAGGACCTCACCTTCTTACATGAAGGTAGATGGCTGTGTGGAAAGCCCAGAATTTTTTTTGCGTGTATTAGCTACTTACATGTGTCAACTGTCTATAAACTTTAAAACACCTAAAATAACTTTTCTCAAGCTTGACATGTCATTTCGTACAGATTAATGTCACCTACTTCCTCTGTGTTGTGAGGAAGGTCAATGTCTGTCACTCAGGAGGTTTACTTCTGCTAAAGGCTTCCCCATATTGCCTTTTTAAGATATCTCACTGAGTCAAGTCAAAAGTACCCAAACAGACTTCTCCTTAAAGGTTTTCTCTTAAAGGGGCAGCCATGATAGGAATTGAAAAGAAAGTTTCCCTAATTGTGCAAGTTTCTTAAAATTCTCAAACGACCCAGCCTGACTCAATATGAAAGTAAGACACCGCTTTGATCTCCTAGAGGAATGACAAGAAAGAGGAGATTTCTACTTTGATATTACTTAGGAATATTGTTGCAAATTGCATCTCCCCTATGTCCCTATAGATAGAGATGGAGAGAGAGAGAGAGAGAGAAAGCTTTTTTTTCTTTTACAGATTTGACAGTTTGTGTGTGTGTGTTTCGTACTTGTGTTTGTCCCCTCAGGCAATGACTCCAGTGTTGATGGTCTTGTGAATTTTGAGAAGCTGAGGATGATCGCCAAGGAGATCAGACATGTGGTGCGGTTGACCTCAGCGAACATGGACCCTGCCCTCATGTTCAGACAGAGGTTGGTTATTTTTGATACGAAGAGGCCTTAAAAGTATAATTTTTACAGATACTGGTCGCTTAAAGCTGTTTCAAATCACCAGTGATAAAATTAAAACCCCTGTGTGGGGCTTTAATTACAGCAGCTACATCACAAAAGTGCCACATCCAAAAATGATCTCTAATAAAGCCAGAAAAGCTAAGAATTTCCAAGGATAATGCCATGAAAATATAAATTTTGGAGCTTTTTATAGAAAATGTCTTGCGAAAGGGAGCCAGAGGGGAATTTTGTGGCTCAGAAAGCTTCACAGAACACAATCCACAGTTAATTTGCATAGTGTTTCAAATTAATTTACTGTCAACAAGTAAGCCTGTTCATAGTGGTGTAGTAAGTGATACCAAATCATCAGCTCCTTTTAAATATATGTAACGCTTCCTGTTTCCGTTCAGTCCAAACTGTCACTTCTCAGAAAGAGGCATGACTGCAGAGAGTCCAGTATAGCAAAGTAGACTGCAGGTTTTTAGAAAGGACAACTTCAATACAGAAGACCACAAATGTGAGCAAAAAGGGGAACCGCTACACCGTTCCTCCACCAGCCAAACGGGATCCTTCGTCAACAGGATCAGGCAGACACTTCAGGTCTGGTTCGATCAATTCCCATTCACTTCCTGTCTAGTTCACAGTTCTTGTTGGTTCGATTGCATAGCTCTGCTGGAATGTAGCCGCAAAAGGACACAAGGCATAGATCGACTGGAAGTGAGGAAGAATTGATGCCAACCGCAGTGTGTAGTTCTATCACTCCGTTTGTGTGTTTATCACAGTCTGTCACTGCTACAGTGCATGATTGCCCCCTGCAGACATTCCCTTCTTACTACAAGCTCAATATGTCAGAGAAGATATTTTTCCCAAGACTTTTTATTTCAGATTAAAAATATTTCCGTCTTATGTATCATATATGACAGTGGTTTTTCAAAAAAACCCAAAAGGTGACGCAACGAGCCTGTTTTCATGAGTGTGTGAAGCACAAGGCCCTAACGTGCACTCTTCAGGTTGATATGGGGAGATGTCATATGTCTGGTGTCGTCCCATCTCCAGTCATTTCCTGTTTGTTTGTTGTGGCATGACCTCTACATAGTCTTGTCCACCCCGACCCCTGAACTTGTCTTTTAAGTCACGCTTCAATCTTCACACCTCTTGCTTGCAGGAAGAAGAGGTGGAAGAGTTTAGGGTAAGTTTGTCCTGGTACCGGTTTCATCCTGTCTCAGTCTGGACCAGCAGAAATTCTATTCACCCTGCATCCCCCACCACCATAAGCTCTGCATGCACTCCCCCCTTACTTTATCTGAGTGTACATGTGTCTGCCTGTGCTTGTGTGTGATTAACCCTTCCATTTGCAGTGCCCATTTACCTGAACCATACTGAAGTCCATCATTGACCCATTAATTGTTTGCCCTGTTCATAAGATTGTATGTTTGAATCATATAGTAGCTTTACATAATACCTAGTGTTTGTTTTTACCAAGATGGTCTAAACACGTTCACATAGACATAGGTAGATGGTAAAGAAGATTGTCTAAAATTTCTGGCATTTACTGTAAATTCAAGTTCAGATTTATTGTCATTCATTCATACAAGGATACAGGGCAAGAAAAGAGATAGAACCTAAAATAACACAATTCTATTGACTAAACAATCAACAATTAAGCAAGTCCCAGAAAGTCCTGGTGTGTACATACCATAGTACATATTAGATAATGAAATTAAAATGATAAAAGTAAAACAGCTTACAACCCCTATCAAACAATCTCAAAGTCCATTCAGTATCTGCTCTAGAGCTTTTGATGATATCACATAATGTTCATCAGCAGTTTTCAAATTATATGAGCACTTTGAGGACGTCTCTTCCATGTTGGCTTAAAATTTGAAGTTCAAAGTAAATTTTGGACATTGGAAACAGTTGTTGAACAGAGATGAACAGCTACTAAATGGACTAAGATCATCAACTTTTAAATCAACATAGACAAGAAGTCCTTGAAGTGCTCAAGGGGAAAAAAGAAAGGTTTGAACATGTCACTGCTTGGCAAAGTAAAACAAAACGTGACAAATATTAACCGATGCTGTTTGACTCAGGTTTGGTGTTTGTTCATATCTGCATCCTGCCATAATATTCCCCATATCGAATCTTGTGCATCTTTTGTTTCCTAACCCTTTTTGCGTCCATCTGACAGAATGTTCTGCTGTTCTGTACTGTGATAGCATGGCACACCAGCAAGAGCTGCCTCCCTCCCAGTTGCATGGTCCTATTTCAAAATGCTATGCTACAACACAAAGACAGATGTACAGATTTTATAGTAGAAGGGGTATTTGATAAAGTAGCCTATTTTATTGGTGATTGTGCTGATTGCAGTGTACCGTTCTCTCCTTCTCTCCATCAATCTGCCTTTCTATACTTCCACATGCATTTCTTTTGTTCGTGTCATATCATCTTCATTTTTCTCCCTCATCTTTCATCTTGTGCTCATTATCAACACTTCATTTCTCTCACCTCTTTGAAATCCCTCCACATCTCATTATCTATCTTTAACACTCCCTACTTCCTCCCATTTCTTTCTTCTCCTTTATATTCTTCCTCTCATCTCCTGTTCTTCTATATGTCCTCATTATCCTCCTCCCTTTCCTTCCTTCCCTCCTCTTCCTCCCTCTCTCTAACCCCTCATTAGGTCTTTGAGTCAGGGCAGCACCAACTCCAACATGCTGGATGTGCAGGGCGGCGCCCATAAAAAGCGAGTACGTCGCAGCTCGCTTCTCAACGCCAAGAAGCTGTACGAAGACGCTCAGATGGCCAGAAAGGTGAAGCAGTACCTGTCCAACCTGACGGTGGAGATTGACGAGGAGAAACACCAAATCATGTCCCTGCAGTGTGAACCGTCCTACAGCACCTGTGAGTAACGTGCAAACTACTTTACTAAGTTATCAGTTTATATTTATTCATCAGTACCTTTATTGGTGAGAGAGAGAGAGAGATATCTATCCTTCTATCTATCTATCTCTATATCTTTCTATGTCAGTAGAAAATAAACCCTTTAACCCTCAATATACCTGGTACACAGACAAATATGAGTAAAAAGTACAAATAAATCATTGCATACATTTGAGTTGAACTTTTAGGTATTTTGGTACAGCTGAAAATATTTTCAGGTTTTAACTGTAGGAAATGTTATGCTGGACATGGACAAAGAGGGTATATATATATATATATATGAGAGAGAGAGAGATCTGACAGTGTGTACTGTACACACGTTCTATTTGTGTTATTGGCTTGCACTGCCACCTAGTGTATTTGCAAATCTCTTGCAGAAAATAACAGGAATTAATTGATAGATCACTGCATTATTTATGTTTTGTATCATCCAAATCCTCTGTAGAACAAAAAAAATAACTGAAATGTGAATTCTTTAAAGTGACAATGCGTCATTGTGCTGAAATTACTTTTTTGTTCATCTGAATTGTATCAGTGTGTCATTGGTTCATCACAGCTGTGAGAGAATTAGTATTTGACCATAATATTAATCAAATCCTCCCTCTTTTTATAACTGTGTGACGGTGCCAAGGAATACCAGTATGCTAACGTGATACCTTTATCAGTTTTGAATGTCATAATCTTGTATCTGATTAACTGCAAAACAGATCTAATGTATGTTTTCTACTTGGTTCTGGAAAGTCTTGAAACATTTGAAAAATGTGATATGAGTTTTATAATCAAATCTAGGTGGTTCTTGAAAGGTTTCTTAGTTCTCACCCTTGCTGCCCTATGTTGTATTTATATAATTAATATTTGTTTATTTGTTTTGACTAACATTTCCTTGCCATTAACATACCTCACACAGAATAGCTGAACTTAACAGAAAGAGTTTAGTCAGTGAAAAAGTTGGTAGATGTTTTTAAGTAATTGCATTATGTTTAAACACTGTTGTCTTCTTCCTGTGGTTTTAGTGTCAAAGAACTTGAATGAGAGACGATCCACCAAGTCGGACATGTCTCCGGTGTCTCTGCGGTCAACTCTGCCCTCTGGGAAAACACAAAACAGGGTCTCACAAGTCCTTCAGGTCCAGGTCCCACTTAACCCTCTACGAAAGAAGAGCACTGCCAAGGACATAGGCACACTTAGTTAGTACACCTGCACTTCACTGTATATCATAATTATGCACCTTGTGTTGTCATGGGTTACTTCTTAATGCCTCCTTCTATTCAGAATTTATTTACTTTTCTGTAACCGTTATCTCTCTTTTGTCTTCTCCAGACTCAAACTCTCCCCAGGTAGTGAAGAAACCTCCAGTGAACTCGACAGATGACACCATCTCCATCCTCTCCTCTCTCCACTCCAGCCCCACGGTGTCGCCGCAGGGCTCCCCACGCAAAGGTGTGATACAGAAACCTTTTCAACCTGTATGTTTTTATCCAGGGGAGGTTAGTTGAGGTCAACAAGAGGCCCAGAGTAGACTTAGTTAAACAGTCACCTCCAAGCAGACTTACTCATTTCATACTTTTCTTTCCTTGAAAATTATAGAATTGCACAGGATATTAGATTTATGTTTTTTGTTTTGTTTTTTTGCTATAAATAGTAACTGGGATAGCCTTTTAGGCATCCTTTGACTGACATACCTAACTATCCTCTTGTTTCAAGTTAAATAATAAGCCCTTCTTTTCATCTCTAACTTCAGCTTTCCTTCTGCCTTTTCAGTAGGAGGCATGGCCAAGTCCCAGAACTGCAGCCACATGAACTTGTCGGGATCTTCATCATCACTGACCAGCGACGCCAGCACGAAGGCCGGCAATGTCAGCTTGCGCAGCTATGGCATAGGTGGGACTCTCCTACACAAGAGGATCCTACTGATGACCAGGCAGCACAGCCGAGAGAGTAGCAGGGAGAGAAAGAATGAGGCAGAGGAGGAGAAGGAGGAGAAAAGAAGTGAAGTGGAAAAGGAGATAGAGGAGATGACGCAGGAGGCAGTTCAGAGAGGCTTGTTTTCTTCAGAGCAAAGGAGAGGGAGATCCAGGGGGCAGAACCACCAGGGTGCACAGAAAGATGCAGGGCTAATGTTACAGAGGGTAAGACCAGGAAGCCCTACGGATAAGCAAGGGGTGCATCCCATGTTCCACACTGGGTCTCCTCCCAGTCTGCCTGGGTGGGGACCCTTGACTCTATCACCTCTCTCCCAGCCCCAGTTAATGAGACCCAAACCCCCAGAGTCCCCCATCACGACGAGGCTGATGTCACCATTCAGGATACTGAGGAAAAGGAGTCAGTCAAGAGAGAGACTGATGGCAGTCAGGCCGCATTTGCTTGGTAGGGAGGGAGCGGGAGAGGTTGTGCCCCCCTCGCCTCAGGATGAGAGACAAGGACAGGCAGAGAAGAGAGCCAGGAGGTCGGGCAGCCCCAACCCCTTCCTTTGGCTCTGCAGGGACAGACACACCAGGAGAAAGACTGTCTGACAGAGACAGTAACTGACTGATTCACCTATTTGCTGAGTAAACAGCAGTGAATTGGAGATAAAATGGGAGGTTGATGATCGATTACGTTTCTAGAGGATCCATCACACGCCTCTTAAATTAATGCCGCCACATTTAATTTTGGAACCACAAAAGCGAGTGTTAGTTGAGAGAAAAGAGTCTCATATCCACCATGAGTTGAACAGTAGAAAGTGAGAGACTTTTTTTTTTTACATTGAACCGTCAAAGCAGATAGAGAAAAGGCAGACCTTGTTTGAGCTAGTAACGGCAAAGCCATTTCAATTTGTTCTGAGTTCTCGCAGCACTTCTTTGTTCGTGGGTGTAATGTAGCAAAATATATCATTGTGAAAGCAGAAAGTTTATTTACCTTAACTTTTTAATCCCAACATTAAGGAAATTGTGTCAGTATGAAACATTCTTCACTTGTTTTCCGATTTTGAAATGCATTTAAACAAAAAAAAGATGCATTTGTCTATCCTTTCTTTGTTGATGTAGTGTAGGTTTTGAATGTGATGTGTGTTAAGTACTGTACATGGATTCCTACTGGATTAAAAGTGTTATTTTAACTATTTGATATTAAAAAGGGCACCAAAATTTCAGATTGTCTCCCGATATTCTCAACTCAGTGTGGATTTTAGTGTTTTGTCATCTCCTGGGTGCAGGGTGACTTGAAGTGCAGTGGTTGTCAAACGTTCCCTAAAAAAACTTGCTCCCATGTTCAAATGTAAACAAATGCCCTCTCCTCTTTTCTGTCCAGGTTACACCCTTCTACCGGCTGGTAAAGCAGACAACCTGTCGGACTCAAGTCACAGCGAGATCTCCTCCCGCTCCAGTATCTGTTCAGTTGACTCCGTGCCGGCTCCCGGGCTTGACGACAGGTGTAATAGCAACAACAGGAACTGTGCTACTACTGCTATTAGTACTACTACATTGGCTGCTGCTGTTGCTGAGAGCACAGTGGCAACGCATGCACACTTAAATGCTGATTACAACCAGCCCAGCACAAGGTAATTCACTTCAGTTCAGCTCATTTTGCTCATTTGAAAAGAGTGTTAAACATAAACTATGTTTTTAAGTGCTTTAAAAAAAGTGTTTTTTGCAATGTCAAGATAAACATAATACAATCACTGTGTTTACAGTGGGTACGGAAAGTATTCAGACCCCTTTAAATTTTTCACTCTTTGTTTCATTGCAGCCATTTTCCAAAAATCAAAAAAGTTCATTTTATTTCTCAGTAATGTACACTCAGCACCCCATCTTGACAGAAAAAAACAGAAATGTAGAAATTTTTGCAAATGTATTAAAAAAGAAAAACTGAAATATCACATGGTCATAAGTATTCAGACCCTTTGCTCAGTATTTAGTAGAAGCACCCTTTTGATCTAATACAGCCATGAGTCGTTTTGGGAAAGATGCAACAAGTTTTTCACATCTGGATTTGGGTATCCTCTGCCATTCCTCCTTGCAGATCCTCTCCAGTTCTGTCAGGTTGGATGGTAAACGTTGGTGGACAGCAATTTTCAGGTCTCTCCAGAGATGCTCAATTGGGTTTAAGTCAGGGCTCTGGCTGGGCCATTCAAGAACAGCCACGGAGTTGTTGTGAAGCCACTCCTTTGTTATTTTAGCGGTGTGCTTAGGGTCATTGTCTTGTTGGAAGGTAAACCTTCGGCCCAGTCTGAGGTCCAGAGCACTCTGGAAAAGGTTTTCGTCCAGGATATCCCTGTACTTGGCCGCATTCATCTTTCCCTCGATTGCAACCAGTCGTCCTGTCCCTGCAGCTGAAAAACACCCCCACAGCATGATGCTGCCACCACCATGCTTCACTGTTGAGACTGTATTGGACAGGTGATGAGCAGTGCCTGGTTTTCTCCACACATACCGCTTAGAATTAAGGCCAAAAAGTTCTATCTTGGTCTCATCAGTCTCATCAGGTGTTTTTTAGCAAACTCCATGCAGGCTTTCATGTGTCTTGCACTGAGGAGAGGCTTCCGTCGGGCCACTCTGCCATAAAGCCCCGACTGGTGGATTGCTGCAGTGATGGTTGACTTACTACAACTTTCTCCCATCTCCCGACTGCATCTCTGGAGCTCAGCCACAGTGACCTTTGGGTTCTTCTTTACCTCTCTCACCAAGGCTCTTCTCCCCCGATAGCTCAGTTTGGCCGGACGGCCAGCTCTAGGAAGGGTTCTGGTCGTCCCAAACGTCTTCCATTAGAGGATTATGGAGGCCACTGTGCTCTTAGGAACCTTAAGTGCAGCAGAAATTTTTTTGTAACCTTGGCCAGATCTGTGCCTTGCCACAATTCTGTCTCTGAGCTCTTCAGGCAGTTCCTTTGACCTCATGATTCTCATTTGCTCTGACATGCACTGTGAGCTGTAAGGTCTTATATAGACAGGTGTGTGGCTTTCCTAATCAAGTCCAATCAGTATAATCAAACACAGCTGGACTCAAATGAAGGTGTAGAACCATCTCAAGGATGATCAGAAGAAATAGACAGCACCTGAGTTAAATATGAGTGTCACGGCAAAGGGTCTGAACACTTATGACCATGTGATATTTCAGTTTTTCTTTTTTAATAAATTTGTCAATGTCAAGATGGCGTGCTGAGTGTACATTACTGAGAAATAAAATGAACTTTTTTGATTTTTGGAAAATGGCTGCAATGAAACAAAGAGTGAAAAATTTAAAGGGGTCTGAATACTTTCCGTACCCACTGTATATGCACTCAAGTCACAGGGTTACAGTGAGCTTTTGCCTACAAACAGTTGATGTAAGTGAGATACACGGTTTCTCTCTGGACTGAACTGAGATTACTGGACGACCTGCAAGTTCAGTAAAACAGTAGATAATTAGGATTTATGCATTACGAATGGGATTAAAAGCACTCACTAGCTCAGCATTATCACCCCTCCTCCCTTTACAGAAATAAATCTCGTCCGAATAGGGCTAAACTAACCTAAGGACATAAGATTTTGGGCCTCTTTTCAAGATGGACTTTTCATTTTGTAGTGTACAGATCCAATCTTCCAAACTTCTTAATTTGTTTATCAGGATCCTCGTTAGCACACATCATACCCACACCTTGTTATGAGAGCAAATAACTTTTTCACAGCCATGACTCAAGCCTCAAACCACGGGGATGCACTCACACACAAACACTTAATCATCAGAAACCTTCCCAACAGCCAACATGAGTAAAAATAAATAAATAAATAAAAATGCACGTCACGTACATGGCCTGCTACCTCAAGCCACTCTTCCATTTCCTCACCCAGCTGGATTCCAATTATGTCCTTTCCTCGTTAAAACTCTGAACAGGAAGTCGTAAAACTCTGCAGGTTTTTATTAGCATCCCACATTTACTGCCCTCTGCTCTCCTCTTCTCCGTTAACAGCGTATCGGTTTTAACGCAGGCGGCTTTTCAATCTGGCCGAGTAAACAACACACCTTTTTTATTGTCTGCTGTTTGTTTATTGTTCCTCCATGATCAGGCCATTCTGTCTAACAAAATGGAGGCTATAAAACATCGCTGGATAAAATAATCTGTCTGCTTCTCTGATATTATATTACCACCGCAGCCTTGCCGCGTAACACCGGCCTGTTTTATGAAATATGGCTCAGTTTCATTGAGTGGCTTGTTTGTCCTGTAAAACCGTGTGAGTGAATCAAACTGCTGCTTTATGAAAAGCCAGACATAGTCTATCTATCATGCAGGAATCCTTGTCAAATTTTTTTGTTGTCATTTTGTAAAGAGCAAGTGGACAGATGAGGTATTAACTTTAAAGGCTGAACATTCACAGTAACTGTATTTTTACAGGTAAAACAACAAAAAACATTTAAAAAAATCTGTATAGTAATTCATCTTGTGACATTTTGGTTGAAAGTTGAAAAGAGGCAACGCGGATCATCTGTGTGAAACTGAACTTTATCCTACTTTCATTTGTTGGTGTTTTGACTCTCTGGCCTCCAGCCAACAGCTTTTTATAGTTATTTACCCTCCTCCTTTGCTCGCTTTTCTTTATCAGTTAATTTCAGTATGACTTGCCTCCAACTTTACCACCACTCAACAGTTTGTTGTAATCTTGTGCTACACAGTTTTCACTTCCCCTCTCTCTGTTTCTTTCTTTCTTTTATAGTTTTAGGCTTGGTACATGTACACTGCCTCTACTTCTCACCAGGTCTCAGTACTCTGACACAGAATTAACTATATATTTAATATTATCCTTGGTTTGAATCTTACCCAGGCTATTTTATTTAACACTGAAAGTATTGATGTAAATATGCTAATACATACACAACACAAACACCTGTTGATTATTTCACACTCTTTTGTCTACAGTAGTTCCACGTCGTTGGCCCGAGGATACGTAGCAAGAGCCTCCACCTTCACCTCCTCCACCTCAACGGAGGAGCTGACCCCGGACCACACCTCTCTGGACTCAGTTGTTGACAGCGGCCGTGGAAGCTGGACGTCCTGCTCCTCCAACTCCCACGACTCCTTCCAGAGCCTCCCCGCCTCCTCCTGCCGGCCCTGGGACCACGGCATCCACGGGCATCCGCTTTCCCTCCCACACACGCACCTTGGTGGCTTCAAGCACACGCAGCTGGCCGGGCCGATAGCGGAGGTCGAGACAGCCGGCGGGCACTCGTGGGCGAACGAGGACGCCGCCAAGCAGCACTCCAGAAACTCCAGCTCGGATCTGTCCAATCAGTCCCGGCAGAGCTGGGCGTCGTCCAGCTCGCTGTCGGACACCTACGAGGGGAATTACGGGACGATAAAGCGTCGAAACACCTCGGAGCAGCCCTCCTCACCATCCAACGAGGAAGGAGGGCAAAGCACAGACCCTGTCTACAAAACGGTGACGTCAAGCACAGAGAAGGGCCTGATAGGTGAGGGGTCAGGAGTTTGATTCCCTGTAAACACAGTGTGACAGCGGTCAACTCTGTCGCTACGTGTGTGAGCGTATGTTTAGGGGGCGTGTGATTGTGTGGATAGTTACATTAGAAAATAGTCTTCCCCACTTAAGGATTTGTTTGTGAAGCTATTCTGTGCTTCACAACACATCAACACATCAGATTGTGCTAAAGCTCTCTTCGTAATGAATATCAAGATGGCTGTCTTTAGATGAGACTTGCATGCAGTAAATTAAGTTAAGTCTGCTGTTGATTTAGTTGAATTACTGCAGCTTTCTGTTGCTTGACTTGCTGTTACCATTTAGTGAACAGCAGGCAAACGCTGCACTTTGGCATTTCATAGATCCCAAACAGATCTCATTGTTGTCACTGTTGGCTCTCCGGAGCATCCTGATCAGCTGTACGCTTGTCTTTTGCTTTTGGACCTCTTTAGTTTTATGAGGATAACAAAACTCTCTTTGATTTTGATTTTAGAATTTTTTTAAGTTGTAGAGGAGGAGTTAAGAAAGTGTTATGTCCACTGCCAAAACAATTAGTCAATGAATCTACTAGTAGACAAAAATTTTACATTTACGTCTACTCTTGGCTTCCAGCTTCTCAAATGTGAGGATTTGCTCTGCTTTACGTCTCTTATAAATTTAATAGCTTTATGTTTTGGACTGTTGGTCAGACAAAACAAATAATCTGAAAACATCACCTCGGGCTCTGGTAGAATAATGTCAGGTTTCACTATTTCTTAATGTTTTAAGATCCAAACGATTGATCAATTAATCCGGTAAATAAATGACATATAATTGATTTATGAAAGTAATCATCAGTTGCAGCTCTAGTTCTGTCTGTATGAGCTGAAGCCATCCATCTCATTGGTTGTATATTTTTCTTATAATTTTCAACACATTTTGGCGCATGTATAGTTGTGTATTGTGTTTGTGAAACATCACATTGATTTTATTTTTCCATCATTTTCTTTTGTTTCCCCCCCACCCCTGCCTCACACAACTCCCGGCACACCTCCTTTTCCGACAACTTCTTCACCCCCCTCACTCCTCATCCCTCACTCCCCTCCTTCTTTGCTCCATCCCTCCTTTCTATTTTTTTCTTTTATCTACACCTCCATCTAGTGTACTGTGTCACCTCCCCCGCCATGGATGAGCGTTACCGAGCTCCTCCTCCCACCCCTCCAGGCTACCAGGGTCTGGCTCTGGGGGATCTCAGCCTCACAGACGGAGTAGTAGGTGGGCCAGGAGGTCTCCTCCCCAGGCCTCCACACCTCAGACCTCCAGACTACAGTGTGGCCCTGCAGAGGAGCAAACTCCTGCAGAGCCCTGGAGTGGCCGGCGGTCTGGCTGAGGCACGGAGGCTGGCTGCTAACCATCACCTCCACCATCAAGAGGCCCGGAATGCCGCCGCCATGCAGGGCCACTCCAGACCGCCCAGCATGTGTCTCCCACCGCAGGATCTGGCTGATAGTGAGGATGGTACGTCCCCCAAGACAATGACATGATAGAGCAGCACTCATTTTCAGAGTTCGACGATGTTTCAAAGAGTAGTCATAGAAAAAAAACTATTGGTTCCCTTACTTACACAATACACGCCTCTACTAAACATATCTCTTAGTTCATTTACATGACAGTTGCAGGTTGTTGGACCCTGATATTAAATGACCACAAGCTTACAAAAATGCACAAAAACAGAAAGTAAAAGAACTTCTCCATGATTTAAAAAAAAAAAAATCCCTCTCTTTAACTTGTCACTCCATTAAGGATTAATTCATATAAAACGACACATTCAAGTTCATGTCTGTGCTCTCAGATAGTTTCATACAATATCACCAAGGATCATCTTTATGTTGCAAAATAAAACATAAAGTGTGTAAATTATGTAAATGAGACTTAAGAAAAAAATTATAACAGTGAAATTTGGATTTTAAGAGTTCCACCTGCAATGCGTTCCTGAAGTAACTTATTTTGTTTTTTGGGACATTCTTAAAGTGAGTCTGGTGCATAAGTGTAAGAAGATAAATAATTCTAGGCTATATCGTCCATACGGGTTTCGATTATACTTTCACAGTCTGGCCTGAGAGGTGAAACAGATACTGAGTTTAATTCTGGCATTTGGAAGTCTTTAAAAGTCTAAAATTTAGCGCTTAGGAACCTGTCGACTCCCTGCCAAACTTTGTCCTCTCTTCTCTATTCCAGATGAACAAGTGTCAGCGGTGTAAGGACATGGACGTCGCACACAGATATTCTCACACGGGCCAAGTCGTGGTGATCAGGCTTTGGACTAAGCTAGCAGCCTGCCATCACCACGTATCAGAGCACATTCTCCTGTGTGATCAGAGCTGTGGGTCATGTGACCACTCTCCATCTCCCAGAACTCTTACAGCCATCTCTTTTTAAACCCATTTTACAAAACATAGAAGAAAAGAAAGATACTTTTTAAAAACTCTTGAACAAAGCAGAAAGAGGCGGCGTGATGGTGTCGCATCACCGTAGACGGATGTTTTTTTTTTTTTTTAAAAAAGGACAAATAGTAGAAAGAATAACGACGTCTTGTGAGAAGAAATTGGCCTCTTTGGAAACAGACCACCATGTACCTCCATTTTGAGTTTCAAGCTCTCTTGTCTAAAGCTGTTTCACATGGTTTTTACACTTTTAACATGTACAGTGAATTTTTTTTTTCCCTCTTCCTTTCAACTTTTATATGAGAATAATGAGGAGGAGCAGACAAAGGGACACAAAGGTGCAGTCAGTAGTGTGCAAGTATTACGACGAACATTAGCTCGTAGGGGATTTTTTTTTTTCTTTGTTTGTTCTGCTGTTTTTGTTTGTCGTCAGCTTTCAGCTCGAAATAAGATGAATGTAGATGAATATGATTCAAGAAAAAAAAAAACTGATTTTGAGATTTCTCCAACAAAGAAAAGGAAAAAAAGGTCTAATGGGCCTCCATCAAACCCTGGCACTGATGATGCACATTTACATAATTAACTTCAGTTCCCACACAACGAACCAAATGCACAGCAAAACAAACTTTATTAATCCCAATACTGATATATAATACAGAGCCCCTCTGCATATTTTCCACTCCTCTTTCTAAAAGAGAAATGACACTCCTAAAGTAAGAGAGAGCACATCTGTTTGTGTGTACCACTTATTGGACTTTGTTATAGGGAAAAGAACAGCTTCTCCAGCAGTTCTGTGTCTTCATGTCGTGCTCTCCGCCACCCGGCCACCTCTCTTATTGCTCGTTCAGTCTGACGCGAGGTACTTTAGCGGCATGCTGCCTCCTGGATGTTGTGTAAAAACTGTATTATAACTCGTTTTTAATGAGCTGAAGAACAAACGCATCGCTGCTTCCTGTAGAGTAAAAACGCGTGTCATCATTCTATTGCAGCAGCTACAATAAAACAATAAATTAGCACTGTGCTGTCGCACAACGTGCATGCATATACGCACACACACACACACACACAATAAATCAGTGTTTACACCGACGCTTACATGTTTTGTTTACAGTGTTTATTAGACTAGTCGTCTATTGAATTACAAGCTGAAATGTTGAAGTATAATGCTCCAGGTTCATTTGACCTTGTAAATTTGTTTATAATGCAGCAGGAATATGAGACGCAGCATAAAATTTGACCATGTGCTCACAGTGTACACCTCATATCGGGTTTTTGCTTCTTATTTAAAAGGACAAACAACAAAACAAGTCCACAGATGATGTATTTTAACGCCTGGCTTCCATCTCCATTCTCCATGTTCATAGTAAATTTTGTAGAATATTTAAAGGCTTTGCTTAAAAATTGTTTATTTGTATTGAAAACTGAAGTAAATTTGTACATTCTGAGTAATGTTTTTGGAAACAGAAAAATAGTTTTTAATTGTGTTTTATCTGCAATGCAGCAGGGGTGTAACTGGAATTAGGCTTTTTCTTCTTTTGCGGTCTGTCTCGCGCTCTGTGATGCTTCTTTTGTATCGTTTTGCCACACAAAGACTTGAAATGATTAATGCTAATATATACATGGCATATATATGAATTTATACATATATATTTTTGTCGTTTCTTTGCCATAAATTAATGTTAACTGATCATGTATAGATGAGAGAAGAGAGTCCTCTATAAAGGCTATTTTTGAATATTTTGTTATAAGAAATAATCCAAGGTTTCGATTGCCCTGTTTCTGTCTTCGGGCAGGAGTCTTGTTGTAGTTCATGACTTGTTTTCTCCCCTCACACGCTTCACACTTGTTGGTGCCATTTCTGCTCTGTATATAATTCTAATTGCTGCTGTGTTTTGGGATACGACTGTGTGTCTTCACTGTTGAGTCTGGGCTTACAGCACATAAAGAAAAGAAGTTATTTTATGTAAAAGTCCCTCTTAGTTTGCAGCTTTAATTTGCTCCTGTGCCATTTGTTTCATGACACAAGGGGACATCATTCAAACTCTGTCTCGATGATTGAGAGGAGTTTGTAGATGCTATTGTGTGTGTTTGAACTGAAACAGAACAAGCCCTGCCATGACGCCATGTGTAGTAGTATAGTTTCCCCCCTCTGCCTCTCTCTCAACCCTGTCAGCTCAGCTGGACTTTAAACTTTCTCCGCACTGTACTCGTCTGATGGATTTCACTGTATCCACTGTGACCCTCATTCTAGTCCCTTTTTCCATTTTAAAACAATCTCCATAGAAGAAACTTTTAAACAAACTGAGTCAGAAAGTGACACTTTTTTTGACAACTATTTTTTTGCACAGCTGTATTCCTCAGATTCTAAACCATAAATCAGTATTAATGTTCAGCATGGATAATTAAACAGATATTGGCAAATACTCCTTCCAAGAGTTGGCCCAGATGTTTTGTAATGAACGGCACAGAAATCAGAGGAAAAGCTATATATTTTTACCTGCTTTCAAATGTTTGTTTGACAGCTAAACATCGAGCAACAGTTTTGGTTTTTCTATAAAATTATTGTTCGGGATTTTAGTCTTTCCATCAATGTTGTTTCCTAGCTAAAGAGGAGTTTGTTTTATTCCTCACACATGCTCTATAAGCACTCCAAAATGCTACTTCTTTTTCTTTAAAGGCTAAAGTTCATATAGTTGTTACCCGCTCTTCTCCTGCTCTACATACAATTAGGTGTGTTTTCATGGAGGATCTGGCAGTGAGCAGCTCTTGGCACTGTGAACACAATATGTCAGTGTTTTTAACAGAAAACTGGAGAGGATAAACTTCACCTCTCCCACAGATTGATGAAAATATCATCAATCATCATGTCCTGCTATGTTACCTGGAATGCAATAAGAGAGATGTGAATGTGTTTTTATGTAGACATCTTTTGGCATTACAGCAGAAATGCACAACAATAAGCTTATATGTGGTGAGTGTGCTGCACAATCTGTACAAAGAGGTATTAACTTGGTCTGTGGCTTCAAGTTTGCTTTCGTCTCACACTTCTCATAGCTGTTGTAACTTATGTCTTTTAGAAAGACAAAATGATTTTGCTCGTATGCTTTTTATGTATTTTTTTACGAGTGACTGTAAATAGTTGTTATATTTTTGTTTAAGAGAATGTTTAAAAAGGAAAAAATACCTTTTATTTCTCCAAGTCTACTGATATGAATTTGGAAAATGAATAAAATGTTAAAAAAAACAATTTGTGTCTTTATTCGTAGTTGATACTTAACAATAGGTCCAGACTGAAATAGCTGAACAAATTATTGGAGTGATTGCCTTGCATTTTTTTTGTAGACATTGATGGTTTCCAGAGGATGAATCCATCCTGACTTTGGAGATCACCTGACTTTTTCTCTAGCGCCATCATGAGATTCACATTTGTGATTTGAAATTAAATGTGATGGATTGCTATGAAATTTGGTACAACACATTCATGTTCCCCTCATAATGAATTGTAACTAATATCTCTTAACCTTTCATCTATCACCATCATCAGGTCTAAATTTGAATTTATCCAGTCTTTTGCTTTTTAACCAAATACAGTTACATTTATTAAACTATAGACATCAGCTGCAGCCGTACTTCATATTTAATGCTAATTAGTAAATGCTAGCATGCAAACACTCCAAAGGTGGTGAACATGGTAGACATTATACCTGCCAAACATCAACATGTTAGCTTTGTCATTGTGATCATGTCAGAACAGCCTCACAGATCTGCAGCCAAATGTGTCCCAGTTTGAAGCTAGATGTGTTGTTGTCTTTTGACCTGAAACTATCAGGAGGCCTGTGGCCTCTTTGTTGCCATTTTGTCAAGAACACAGCAAGCGTTTTTGGTGTCGAATGCACTTTCTGATACTTTTGACCAGCAAATCTTCACACAAAAAAAGAGAAAGCACCTAATCTGTCCTCACTGCGTCCTCGCGCTCTCTCCGCATTCTGCTCCATTCAGCTCTATATCCGATCTGATCACAGTATCACACTGTGCTCAAGGTCAGGTTTCTTTTATTACTCATTAAAGGTTTACTGTCACACAGAGGGGCAGGAAGTCCTGCTGGTTATTTTGACTGTGTGTGTAAGAGAGGAAGAATACACCAGTCTGTGTGTGTATACAGTTGTAAATGGTGCATTTCTACTGCAAATGCACGTGTCCAGGCTTAACTAGGCACAGAAATTGTCTGTGACCACAGCTGAAGAATTTTTTTTATGATGGTCTTGTCAGTGGTTACATACTGGAGCTGTCATTGTCATCAGATTGAAACACCAAGAATGACTAAATTCTTTGTAAGAAGTAGACACACATAACCTTTAAAGCACTGCAAAAACTCTCAAAGCATTCATCTGACATGTGACAAAACAATTGCATTTTAAAACTGGAGTGTGGGACCTTTACATATATATGAACGTACATTACATTCAATAGAATACAATGCTGAATAGAGCTCCATAATTCACCATTGCTGTACAAAAAAAGATCCATTGGAGAATATTTATTATTGAGAATTGTTTGTTTGTTTATTTATGTTTATCATGATTGTATAGTTTGTGTGAATATGCTCTGACAATGTTAAAGAGTATGTAGTCAGGCCAATAAAGCCACTTTAATTGAAATTGAACAGCGATGACACAACTCTGTTTCGACATGGCTCTGGAGCAACCGCAGCGACGGAGTAGGCTACAGCAACTGGGAGTATGGCAGGAAAAAATAAATTTTTCTGATGCTCCATGTAAAAAAGAAACACAGTCCAAACAAGAATGTGATTGATGTCTAGGACAAACACGGATACCCCTTGGTGTAGCTTTTCCTCAGGACTGAGGGCAGACAAAATGTGGCTTTACTGCTCTTGGACAGGTTGGTATTTGTAAAATATTTGAAGTAGGCTATGTAGCTATAACAATTACTCTTTTAATTACTAATATATACAATTACTGCATAAATATGGATTATTGTCCTGGACATTTTTCAGTATTTCTGTAGCTACAGGATGTCACAAAAGTGAGTACACCCCACACATTTTTGTAAATATTTGATTATAACTCATTTTGTTGCCAGCGGTTTAGGCAATAATGGCTGTGTGATGTTTTCGTTTGATACAAGCTGTACACTCACTATACATTGTAGCAAAGCGTCATTTCTTGTCTTTCAGATGAAAAGATATAATCAAAAATGTGATGGGTGTATTCACTTTTTGTGAGATACTGTATTTCTGAACACCATCCTGGGGCATGCTCACCTGTAGGCATATGTTATGAATCAACAGTGTTTGTGTAATTACTCTCACTGCAAGAAGGTGAGACATAAGTCCCTCACTGCAGGTTTAAGATCCACTTAACTAACTTTTTCCAGAACCTTCAGCCATCCATAACAACTTGAGTACTTCCCCTTTGAGTTAGCTTATCTTGACATTGGAAACGCTAGTCAGGCCAAACAACTACAACCCAAAGTCCACTTACTAGCTTTTTTCCAAAGCCTTCATATCACACGGTAACGGTTCAGAGTTTGAAGCAAAAGCTAACAAATCTGGAGGTCAAGGGCAGGAAGGCAGGAAACAGACTTGTCAAACTGCAGGTGGCAGAACACAAGCAGAGTAACAGCTGGAAGGTTGTGACTGAAAAGGAACATCTGCAATCAGGCAAAGTGCTTGTGAGAAAGGGGTTGGTTTGTGCAGTATACTAAGTGGCTAATTAGGTAATAAAGAGTAGTTGTGCCAATGGGTGTGGAACATCAGATGACTGGGAAAGGCCGAAACACTGTATCTGGTGGGCAGGTGACAAATGAAAGGGTCAGATAAGCTGTATTGTTACAGAGATAGAGGAAGGGTGAGAGTGAAGTTGGAGATTTAGAGGCCTTTCCAAGGTCAAGAATGAACTTGTGTCTAACTTTTCAGTCAACACAGATTGGAAGTGCTGTGGATGAAATTATGCCAGCTTTTACATAAAAGGTCCAGAAAAATGCAAGTGAGTTGAAAAACACCAGTAATAAATAACTATAAATACAAAACAACAATCTTAGAAGATCAACAATCTAAAAAGATACAGAAAGTAATGAGGCCATAGAAAACAATATAAAAACAATTTTTAAAACTCACTAACAAACTGAGAAGGCTGACAGCAGAGTGGATAAAGGATTTAGAGTAACGGCACACTTACCTCGTACCTTTCCTGGTATTCCCTGACATCTAGGTAGGTTTGGTTTTCTTTGCCCAGGTTTTGAAATATCAAATAAGAAGAAAATAAGATGTCTGCTGCTACTTTGAGCAAGCTTTGATGTACTCAAAGCTTTGAACTTTGAAAAATGATGCTTAGAAAATTCAAAAGCAATAACTGTCTTCAGAAACCATGCCCCTGTTACTCTAGATAATCCACAGGAAACACTGTCAAACTGTTTCTATAGGGACTGTAAAAAAAAAAAAAAAAAAAAAGGAGTTCCAATGAAACTGTTGGGGTCTGTTTGATATTTTTAAAATAAAATCAAAAAGAGGAAATAACACCAGCCATATCCTGGCCCCACAGGACGACATAAGTTCCAGAAAGTCTGACTAATTCAAATAAAGTTTAGTAAACTTTTGCCGAATCTGACTTTGGCACTATCTGAACTGTTTCTTAAAGACACTGTGTTCTTTTTTCTGTGATAAAGTTAGAAGGATGTGTAATAGAGATGGGTCAGGGTGGTTGTGGTGGGTATGTTAACCAGCATGTTCAAAGAGCTGGTCTCTCCACTTCAGAGAGAATATTCCAAAATATGATGAGAGAAGTGAAAGTTCAGCTCCGAGTGGGATCGGCTGGGAACGAGTTGGTGAAATTTCACACAGCTTCAATTATACATCACAAAGGGCAAAAGAGCCCCAGTGGATAGCAGGGGAGGAAATGTGGGGGGAAAACGGGTCTTGTAATATGTGTGGCCTGCGTGCACGTTTGTGTGTATGTGTCACACCTCTCCTCTGTTTTGACTTTGAAGTTGTGACTTTGTCAGGAGCGGAAGCCGATAGCAGGAGGTGGGAAAACGGAAACTCTACCACCTGTGGGTAACACACGCAGGGGGTGGCTTTTAGCATATTCCTGTCTAAATGAAAATTTGTGAAGCAAAACAGCTTGGAAAATATTCTGTCACCCATACAGTCTCAGCGCTGCCCTTGAGCGTACATATGTGTGAGTGTGAGTTTGCTCTCACATACATAAATGGAAAATAAGTTGGTTTCCTTCATGTGTCGTCAACCTTTGTTGTCTTGTTTTCTGTATGATAACAGAACTAAGTTGTTTGTCCTTGCATTTCAAACTTTTTATGTCTTTGTCTGTAGTCTTTATGTCTTGTTATTGTACTGTATGCATGAAGGAGAAGTTTGTTTTCTTGGAGTAACGTTAAAGGTGTACTCTACCAATTTTGTATTGCACTTCCATAACGTTGGCGTACTTGTAGGAGAACTGGTGTGTCCTGGTGGCGGAGGTGTTTAAGAAGCTGCCCATGTAATCTCTCTTCCATGATTTTATTGTCACCTTAGTACTGACCTCTGCCAAATCCTGCCACGAACGCCACTGACTTTTAGTCTCTATCGTCCAAAAAACACTGGATCCTACACTTCCCATAATGCTGAAGCTGAAGTTTGCAAAGCAGACTTTGAATGGGAATACTTTGACATGTTGGGGAACATGTTTACAGACTTTCTTTACTAAAGATAGATGAGAAGAATGACATCTCAGTTCTCATTTCTGTGTTTGCGAGTATGGCGCTAGAGTCAGGACATAATTAGCTTAGCGTAGCATAAAGACTGGGGAAACAGCTACGCCTAACAACGCTTCTAAACTTAATAATAACACTTTTTAAGATACTCAAAGATGCTTACTTGACAAGTTGAAAAAAGATCCCAGTTTACTAAATCCACACTAAAGGTAGCACAGGATATTAAATCAAACATTAAAAGTAGTTCTAAAAAGGTAAGTAGAGACAATTGTCATGTTCTTTCCCGTTAGTTGTACCGTAAACAAACAGAAATTTTAAAAACGCTATTTGTGACTTTCCTTTAACCAGGAAAAGTCTCACAAGTCTTTACATGGCCAGGTATTGGAGTTATGTGCTGTAACTATTTGTTGGTGAACAGCCGCCGGGTGTAGTTCCTTCCTGGAATCTGGTCGTCACTGCGATTTTCCTAGGCTGTTTGTGTGCAGATTAACAAACAGATATAATGTTTTAGTTTGTGAA